TAGCAGAAACCAGAGGCTTGAACCAGACCAATGTCTCTTTGCAGCATTTGCAAGCAAAGCTATACAGAGAAAAGGGCTTACTGTGTGACTCAGTGTGTCACACTGCAGCTTTCATTATGACATCTTTTCTTCTTTTCCTTTCTTAAATTTTATTTTATTTTGTGGGGGAAGTTGTAGGGCAAAGGGAGGATATGAAGGGATGGGGAAATGAAAGGGATTGAGAAGCATGAATGTGAAATATACAAAGAATAAATAAAAGAAAGCTAAAAAGGAAAAAAGAAAGAAAGGGGGAGTCTACATGTATGCTTAATCCTCCTCCTGCCTTGTTGTGGTTAGAATGAAAAATGTCCTCCATAGGCTCACCCATTTGAACATTTGGTCCCCAGGTTGTTTTGGAAGTTACCAACCCTTTATGAGGTGCAGCTTTGCTGGAGGAAGTGTATCATTCAGGGTGGTCTTTGAGGGTTTATAGCATTGGCCTCACTACCTACTCTGTTTCTCTGTCTGCCTCTTCTCTCTCTCTCTCTCTCTCTCTCTCTCTCTCTCTCTCTCTCTGCTCTCTCTCTCTCTCTCTCTCTCTCTCTCTCTCTCTCTCTCTCCTTCCTGTATGTGTTTGAGATGTAATCTCCCATTTTCTGCTCCTGCCATTATGGCTATCTAGTCCTCTGGAATTCCAAAGCAAAATAAACTCTTCCTTGAGTTGCTTTTGGTTGTGGTACTTTTATCTCAGCAACAGAAAAATAAAATAACTAAAGCATGTCCATTCCCCGACCCTTCTAAAGCCAGCAGTAGTCAACCTTGGCCGTCTATTTAATCCTAGTCACTTGTAAAGGCCCGACCTCTGAACATTACAGTTGGATTTTGTTTCTGTTGTCTTAATACCTTGTAATGAAGATGAAACTCCATCATGAATTCTAGTGGTGATGACACACACCCAAATCCTAACAGCAGCAAGTCCTTATGAGTTTCTACATTGGTTTTTGGCCCCCCAAACCCTCCAAAATTTTTGTTGTTGCTTTTCCTAATGGGACTCTAGATCAGGGTGCTTTTTAGTGACTCACTTGCCCACTATTATGTGACTTTTCTCCTTCAAGTTTTAGGGAGCCAACACCAACCTAAGACATAAATCCTTAAAAATAAAAGACCCCAAATGATCTACCTAAACAAGAAGGGGTTGGAGGGGTTTTAAAAAAGTGGGTGGTCAGGGGACATAACATGGAAGAAAATATTTGTAATGAGAGTAACTCCACGGCTAGGCTTCTCCTGGTCCCAGCCCCTACTAGGCCTGAGTTCCAGTAAAGTTTCAGCTTCTGTTTCTGTACCATTAGGTCTCAGTTTCTGTTTCAGTTTTAATTTCTGTACTGTGTTAAAGCAGGAAGAGGAGCCCCAGCCAATCATGTTCAGGATGAACTAATCCAATCCTGGATGCCTATAAAAGAAGCCTGCATGCTCCATTGGGGTCGTCAGCATTCTGTTGTGTGGCTGACCCCTGCATGCTGGAAGAAACAATGTTCTTGCCAGTTGCATAGGCGATGGTGGTCTTTGTTTTGTGGGGTGATCTGATGTGAGGACGCTAACAGTAACAGAAATAACAAAAGCAGTGTGGTTCTATCTTAAGAGTTTAACTCTAACAGGATAATTTCATAGACAGAAGAGAACCAACTTTCTAGAGTTCTCTGCTATCACATGCTGTTATGCAACGAATCAAACCTAAACTCATTGTAATATGCATTTTATTTGCCAGTGTATTCTGTGAGAAAAAAAAAACAAAACTTGGGATGTGTGGCCAGGAGAGCCTTTTGATCTTACCTTGAATTATACATGTGGCTGCATTGACTACTCCCCTCTCTGCAACTTGTGGGAGGCTCTATTTTTCTAATATGTTGTCTTCCACATATCTAGTCATTGGTGCTGACTAATGGTGTGTCATAAGCCTTTGTGGGCTAGCCTCGGCTCCTTTACCTGGTGGAAGCAGAAAGCCTCACAGTCAAGGAGGGTAAATACGAAATCCTAAGTATCATTCAAACCTCTGTTCACTGATGTCATGCTGGTGAAAGGTAAGTTCAGAGTCTAAGAACAGAGTCAGTATAAGTATAGAAAGATACGAGCACAAGGAAGTGTGATTCATCAGGAGTAATTCATGCAACAACTGCGGTGTTATAAACAAACACTCCCAACAATCTCAGCGGCTCCCACAGTCTAGTGTTAGTTCTCACTCAGATCAAACTGTGTAGGTAAGGAGACTCTATCACGATCGTCACGGAAAGCAGCATCTTTCTAAAGGGTGTCTCTATCACTGTCTAAGAACTTTCAGCTGACCAGGAAAAGCAGAAAATGGAGCAATGATGGAAGGAAAGCCCAGAAGTGGTGTATGTTGTTTCCACCAGCCTTCCAATGGCTGACACTCAGTCATGTGGCTTACAGCTAACTGCTAGGGAGATGGGGTTAATAAAATGTCCAAAGACAATGAACACATTTGTTGGTGACCACTGCAATTTGTTGACATCATTAGCAATGTCAAATGAAAATTAAAACCCAACCCAAACAAAAAACATTATTTGGGGCTAAGTTCTTGTACCAGAATCCAACAAACCAGAAATCAAGAACAAATAAAGTTCTATGACACCAAACTGAAGCTATCTTATCCTCTGGTTTTCTGAGAAATCCTGGGAAAGAGAGGGGAAAGAGAGTCAAAGAGAGAAGGGAAGAAGAGGTGGAGGAGCAGGAAGGAGAAGGGAAAGCAGAGGTGGGGAGTGAGAGAGCTGGTCAACAAATTTTTCAGTTGGCCTGTGAAAATTTTCTCTAATCCTTACCCTAAATCAATCAAAACAAAGGAAAAGGAAACGCTAAAAGTAAGGCATGCCTACAACCCCAGCAATCAGGAGGTGAAGATGGAGGACTATGAATTTGAGGCTAGCCTGCTCAACATAAGACCCTGTCTTAACAGAATAAGTAACAAAAATAAGCCACCTTGTGTGAGCCAGTCCGTATTCTATTGTTGCACGCCTCTTTTTCTGTCTCAAGGCAAGTCATTTTAAAATGACCAATCTGTTCTTTGTTTCTGCCTTCTCCAGTTCTTCTGTTTTCATAAAACAACATCTTCTATGTTATGAACCAAGATTTTGCCTGAGTCTAGAATCATAAGAAAAATTAAAATCTTTATAAACAAAATGGTTGTAATTTTTTTCTTCTTGCCCCACATATCCCCCAACTAAGAAAACCAGGATCTACTTAGTCTCCACCACCAGGATCTGTCACTGAGTCACAGTCCTTTAATCATGCCCAGAAGTCCTACCTCGTGGTAAGTTATGCAATGTGTAAATATGTACGCTGTGTGTCTCCACCCACATGCTGTATGTAAAATGATAAGCAGAGCTAGAATACATGTATCAAATATCCTTTTTGAATTCCTATCTTAAAAAGAGAGGAACGTAAGACACAGTAAGCACTCAGTGTCCCACAGACCTTCTGTCACACTCCTGGGCACACATGCAAGAGGCCTTTCCTGTGGTGTGATGGTTAATCTTGACTATCAAGTTGACAGGATTTATAATCACCTAGGAGACAAACTCTTGGCATATCTGTGAAGGCATCTCCACAGAAGTTTAACTGAGTTGGGATGACTCACCCAAATGTGGGCAGCACACACCGTTGGCTTCGGCCCTACACTGATACAGGAGAAAGCGAGTTTAGTGGCAGCACTAAACTTCCTTCCTATACTGTGCATGGGAATGTGACCATTCACTCCTGTCACAACAACACAGCTCTTCGCACAGCTATGCCGCTCTGTGGCGTGATGGACTATTCCCTCAAAAACAAACAAACACAAAAACCTATTTCTGCCAACGGGACAAGCAAGGTGACATTCGTGCTTAGGAGCTTAGAACTTTTGGCAAGAGCATATAAGACCCTTTCAAATGTGGCAAATGATACATGAGATTAGAAAGCATGTCTATGTAAAGGACAACATCATGTTTTAAATTATACTACAGAGGCATCCTTGTGAAATTCTCGGAGGAAGACTGCCTTCTCCGAGACAAAAGCCATCAAAGCAAAACCAAACAGAACAAACTTGCGCATCTGAGCAAAATGAGGGTGAAAGCGTGACCCAGGTTGTTTCACCGAGGGTCTTGAGCGCCATACTGAGAAATTCACGGCTTGTTCCAGCTGCAGTGGAGAGCAACTCACGTTACTACTCGCTGCCTCCTATTTTGAAAAAAAGAAAATGATCACTTTGGTTGCTCTCTGGAGACTGACAATAGTAATACAGAGTGGAAGCAATTTAGAACATTGGAATTAGATTTATGTTAGCAGGATGCTATTTGAGTCAATGGGAGTTCTCATAATCTTCCTGACTGTTGAGAAGGTTCTATCTTGCCACAAAACATTGCTGTTCTCATTGCTATGCCTTCTGCCTCCACGATGGGCTGGCTGTTCCTTCAAACTGTGAACACTTAATAACTATCACGTAATCACGGAAACTATCACGTAAATTACTTTTTTTTCCCTTTTGGGTGTTGTTACGCGCAGTTAGGGTTGCCAGGTGGAACTCAGCTAAATCTTTACTTCAGATAACCACGTTTTCGTGTGTCTCAGAACGAGAGATACATACTAAGGACTTACTCGTTATTCAGAATTAAGCCAGTTGATTTACTCATCGTACTCTGTTCCCACTAGAACATGAATCCCAGAAAGGCGGGAAAACCCTTGCTTCAATGCATTCGTTTTGTGAATCTATCCTTGGGCAAGAAGCCCGCTCTGAAGGAGTGAAGCATTAAACGAACGAGGGGGTAACTGAATAATGAGTCCTCCAATTAAATTATACTAAGAACCAAAGCCTCAGGGGCGCGAGAACCGCACCACCCCTCCTGGGACCGCATTCCCTAACGCAGCACCCGCCGAGCCAGCGGCCGGGAGTCCTGGGGTCACGCGCGTCGCCCCTCGGTGACGTCATCACGCGCGCGCCCCGGGCTTCCCTGGGCTTTCGCGGTGCCGGCGCTTTCGCTTCCCCGGCTGCCGTGAGCGGAGCTCTCCCGCTCACCGCCCGCGGCGCTGCCTGCCTGCCTGCCGAGTGGTCGGTCGGCCCCGGTCCCTCAGGCTCTCTCCGTCTCTGTCACTGCCCGCTGGCAGCAGGCCTGGCCGCTCCCACGAGGAGCGAGCTTCTCCTCAGGGCCATGTCCAGGCCGAGCAGCGTCTCGCCGCGTCCTCCGGCTCCTGGCGGAGGCGGCAGCGGAGGCGGCGGCGGCGGCCCCGCTTCGTGTGGTCCTGGAGGCGGCGGCCGGGCCAAGGGGCTCAAAGACATTCGTATCGACGAGGAGGTGAAGATCGCCGTCAACATCGCTCTGGAGCGCTTCCGATATGGTGACCAGCGAGGTGAGGCTCCTGACCGGGGACCCGGCCGCCTGACACCCGCCCCCCAGGCCCGCCCCGGGCTGGGCAGAGGAACCTAGGGCCGGGCCGCAGAGGTGAAAACCCCGCGCCTGTCGCCCGACTCTCGCTCTTGGAGTGGGATGCTTTGTGGGTCTGGCGGGTTATGGAGCAGGGCCGGTGAAGGCAGAAGGTGAAAAGGTTGGGTTGCTCCCGGGTGGGAGTTTCTCTCTTCTCCTGGGTACTTTTCTGCAGCCCTAGGCTAAGTCAACATTTTTTTTAAGGAGTTAATAAGCCCCTACCATCATCATCAACGTCCCCCTCCTCATTATTATTGAAAAGGTGTAGCCTTACTTTAAGCTGCAGAATCTTCAAAGGAGCGGGAGGAAGTGGAATAGATAAGTAAAAATACCGGCAATATAAAGGGCTTTTTTGAAATTCTAGGCGCATCATATCGAACACAAATTAAACTTCTTTTGACATTTTAAGCGTGTTTCACACCTCATCAGGCTAGAGACCTATTTGCCGCAGTCCTTATAATATAGTACTGAAGTGACCCGTAGTGGCTTCCTAGCTTAATTCTGATTTGCTGGCTTAAATAGGAGACCTCTTGCTGATGAGGCTTAACGGTTGAAAAGGGTAAACGAAATGATTTTGAACGTATATTTGACAGAAGCAATGCCTTGGCGAAATGTCCCAACAAATCCAATGCGAAATAGTGAGTAGGAGCACTGCACAATTTTAAGAACAGAGACATAGGAGTTTCGGCTTGAGAATTCCTAACGCTTGAGCTTACATCATTACTGAAGGAAAGAAATTGTGTCAAGCAAACCAGGAATAAGTTAATCAGATATGTCCTTAGTTATGCCAATTCAAGATTTCAACACAGATGAATAATCTTTGGTGAATTTTAGAGTCATTTATTATATATAGGTTTTTGTCCATAGCTTAAAAAGTAATTAATATCAGATTTCTGGGCTGGAGAGATGGCTGAAGAGTTAAGAGCACTGGCTGCTCTTACAGAGGACCCAGATTTGACTACCATCACCCTCATGATGGCTCAGAACCATTGAAACTCAGTTCTAAGGGATCTCATACCTCTTCTGACCTGTGGACGCTGCACACATATTGTGAACATTTATATATGCTCAGACACACAATACACACACACGATTAAATAAATATTAAAAATTAATATTAGAATTTTATTAAACATGAGGTACTGAATTAATATATTTTCACGTGGATGCATAATTTGACTGTATACTTACATGTAGTCTTCATGTTTTACACCTATAATTATCTCTATGTGGAACCCTTTTTTCCTGTGTAGAAATGGAATTTCCTTCTTCTTTGACCAGTACAGAAAGAGCCTTTATTCACCGACTGAGTCAGTCTCTTGGTTTAGTTTCTAAAAGTAAAGGGTAAGTTTACAGCTTTTCTTATTTTTACAAAGTTATGTACTACAGAAAAGGATAAATACGTCTGATTACATTTAAACCATTATTTCTGTTTTAACTTCTGTGTTCTTAATTATAGGATATGTAGATAAACTCATTTAAGTCTGAACCAGGGTCAGCTTTTCTTTAGACCCTCTTGGTGAAAGGGAGCGGGAGGCTGCAGAATGGGTCAGAGGTTTGCACAGTGGTAGAAATAACAAGTGAGACCCAACCTCAACTAGGTGAAAGGAGAGCAGGAACTCCAAATAGTTGTCCAGTGACATCTATGTGAACCCCTGAATTTACATATACTCAAATAAGTTTGAAAAAAAAATTAAATTTAAAAGTGAATATAGCTTCCATTATTCATTTTAGGTTCTTTACTATTAGACTGGTAGATGGCAGATTTGTCAGAAAAATAAATAAGTTTATTTATTTATTTTAAATTTTATTTTATTTATTTATTTTGAGACAAGTTCCTCTGTGTAGCCCTGGCTGTCCTGGGACTCACTCTGTAGACCAAGCTGGCATCAAATTCAGACTTGCCTGTCTCTGCCTCCCAAGTGCTGGCATTAAGGGCATGTACCTCTACACCCAACTGTGAGAAAGGGATTGATTTATTAACAGCTGCATATAACATATGCAGAGGGAACTTCTTGAAGACATGACAAAGGATAGATCCTTGAATGAAAAGTTGCAAGTTATGGGAAGGGAGCATGGGATATAACTGTGAGAATTAGAGGTTTTGTTTTTTTTTTTTTTTAAAGCAAGTTTTGTTATACAGGCTCCTCTGGTACTCTTTCTAGGTTAAGTCTACAGTAGGCCTTGCAATTGAATTATGTAGGTGTTCCTGGTAATGAGTGTTGAGTGATAGATTTTCCTTGGGGTGATACAACACATGCACCCTTATTCACTCAGGAAAAGAATCTAGGACAGACTAAAGATTGCACTGAAGTCCAGCTTGGAGACCCAATGAAGGTTTCTTCCTTTAAAGAGTTATTATTTATTTTTATTTTATGGTTATGGATGTTTTGTCTGACTGTATGTCTGTGTACCCTGTGCATGTAATATCTGGAGAGGCCAGAAGAGGGTATTGGATCCTTTAAAGTTGGAGTTACAGATGGTTATGACCCACCATATGGGTGCTAGGAACTGAACCCCAGTCCTCTGCAAGAGCAGCAAATGCTCTTAACCGTGGAGCCGTCTTTCAGCACCTTTAATTTTTAACTGACAATAATTATGCACACACAGAGTATAATGTGATTTTTTATCCCATGTATACAGTAGGGCTATTAGGGGAATTAGCACATCTGTTGTCTCACAGAGTTTCTATTTCTTTATGATGAGAGCTTTTAGGGTCCTCTGGTAACTATCTAAGAATGTATACCTTCTTGTTAACAATGGTTGGTATTGTGCGACAGAGCACCAGACTTACTTCTATCTGTGATTTTATGTGTGTTTTTGAATGTCTTCTTTTCCTTCCTCCCCTAACATTGACTTTGAATTTAGTTAACTTACATTGTATGTGTTTATATTTGCATGTGCATGCCATGGCTGTGAATGTGGATGTCAGAGGACAGTTCTCAGGAATACATTCTCAGTTCTTTCCTTCTACTGTGGGTTTGTGGGGTTGAACTCAGGTTGTCAGAATTGGACAAGATAGCTTTTTTTTACTCACTATGCCATCTTGCTGGTCCTCAACATTTACTTTTATGCTTAATAATTGCATATGAGATTCTCTCTTATTTTACAACTTTCGTAGGAAATTCACTTATCTAACAGCGCTCTGTCTGGACAGCTGGTTTCTAATTTTGTTTGGGAAAGGGGACTTCTATATTTTATCAAAGCCATAGCATCAGGTATGCTGGAGAAGATACATGATGAGTGGATCTCAGTGTTTTAGTGTTCATATTAATTTCATTTTATTTTCCTTCTCACAAAGATGATATTTTACCCCAGATATCATGTATATATCATTATCTTTGTGTTGCCTAATGTATAAGCATGAATAGTAATTACCAAGGATAAAATCTTTATCAAGTTCTTATCTTTCTATTATATGTGTTGAATCTAAATTTTCAGTGATAATTTAAACTTGAACCTGCTTAATTTGAATTATTTTTATACATAGAGGTGGCCTGTGTTAGGGTAGTTTCAGTTTGATCTATCAGTTTGGTTGTGGACTTCAGGAAAGAGTAGTATATTTTACTCAATTTTGTAATCACAGCTTCTACCAGTATCTGACATATATTTATAAATTATGGTTGATATCAGAGAAAAAATAGTTAAAGCTGAAACATAAATGTTTCCAAGATAATTTTTCAAGAAAATGAAAATGTCTTGATACCACAGATTTTGTTAACGAGCATACAGTGTTAGAGAACTAAAACAGTGTACTTTTGGTCGTATGGTTAATTAACTGAAGAGTAGTACTGATAAACGTCAGCCTACGGACTTCTCTCGTGCTTATTTCCTCTCTGTAGTTAGGAATTTATGAGATGAGCAGCCCTGAAGAGTGCGTAGTTGCTTCTGTGCCAGCTGAAGTTTCAGACATTGCAGAACAATACGAGGGAAGAACCTACTGTAGAGAACATGCTTAGACTTTAGTAGTTCCACTTCACTGTGGAAATAAAAATTTCTAGACCAAGTTATATTTTATCCCTTTTTTTTTTTTCCTGATTCAGAGTCTCAGGTAGCATAGGCTGACCTTGAACTCCATGATTATCAGGCTTTTACCTCCCACGTGCTCGGAATACAGGAGGGTGTCATCACACCCAGCTAGTCTAGACTGTTCTTTATCCCATTATTTAAGGCATTACTAAGCACTTAGAGAGTAGGTGACAGCATTGAGAACTTATCGTTCACTGTGGTATTCAATGAGGAATGCAGACATTTAAATGTTGGTAAGGTAAGAGCTGCTCTTAGACACAGCTAGAACTACAGTTCTTTACATTTATGTAATCATTTGTGCATGTGAGGGCTTAAGCATGCACACACATGTTATAGCACATGTGGTCAGGAGCCAACTTGTGAAGTTGATTCTCTGTTCATCATGTGGGTTCCCAGGATTGAACTCAGGTTGTCAGGGTTGACAATGAGTCTGCCTCCCGAGTGCTGGGATTAAAGGCATGCAGCACCACTGCCCGGCAAGAAATGATTTTTTTCATATTTACTTAAAGCCTGCTCTGTGACAGATGCTGTAATTTATATCTCTCTCCTTAATAATTTGAATAATCCTTCAAAATAGGTGTTATTAGCTTGGGCTTAAAACCAGGAACTTGAGCTGAAGAGTATATCATAAGCTTTGGGAAAAAACCTTTTCACTTATAAAGTTTGTGCTTGAAATAATCATTCGCAGTGCTGTGTTACACAGGTTCGGTTCGGCTGTTAAAAGTGGCTCTTTTAACAGGCTCTCCTGGGAATGAACCATTACTAACACACCTCAAAGCATGCTGTGGGCGTGCTAGCATCAGCCATCTGCTATCACCTTTTCAATATCGTTTAGATCCCCCATCTTTATATTCCTCCCAGTATGTATTAACTGGTGATGATTTATCTACCACAGTGAATGAAATTCAAATTTTAACATTTTTGGATGCATTAGACTTTTACTTTTGTTATTGCTTATATAAAATTGGGTTTGTAGCATTTTGATAGTTTAATTGAAGATAACTCTTGTGACTGCTTAATTTATCTTTGTTGATTGGGGGAATTTTAATATCTCAAAAACTTGGGCATATGTCATATGTGAACAAGTTGACTATATATAGTAAATAAATTATTTCTATTAACATTCAGAAAGGGAGCCAATAGGTACCTAACTGTGAAGAAGAAAGATGGATCAGAAACAGCCCATGCAATGATGACCTGTAATTTGACTCACAATACAAAACATGCTGTTAGAAGCCTAATTCAGAGATTTCCTGTCACCAATAAAGAGCGTACTGAACTTCTACCTAAAACAGAAAGAGGAAATGTGTTTGCAGTTGAAGCTGGTATGTATTTTCTGGGAGCTTCCTTTTTTACCCTCTTATTTGGTGATTTTTTTTCTACTTTAAATTTGTTTTTTGAAACTAATATGGTATATTTTTTCTAGTTTTAATGTATTAAATGATAAAGAATTATGAAAAATTTGGAATAAAGTGTTAAGGCATATTATGCAATCAAACCAAGACTTTTAAAGATTGTAGTAATGACTACTGTTCATTGAACAATTCCCATCATGTGCTTAGTGGTACCCTCACTCCTATAGCCGCATAGTAGCAATCTTCGAGAGGTCAGACTGTGAGCCATGGAGAAGCTGGAGCTCAGAATGGTGAAACGATTCCTTCATGATTACTCAGCTAGCCAATAAACGCTGAGATTCCACTCCAAAGTCTGGGGCTTTTCTCAATTGCTGTCTTGATAAGTACCAGTTTACACTGGGGCTTTAGTTTCTGCTAAGGGCTGGGGAAGAATCTTCAGTATGTTAAATTATTCAAAGATGGTATATAAGTTATAAAGTGAAGCCATAATTTTATTCAGAAAAATACCTTTAAAAGTGATGAAGTTATCTAACTGCCTAGTGTAGACTTTGCATAGTTATTGTTTTCTAAGATATAGGTCTGCATCTCATAAGCCATACATGGCCATAGATATCAAAGAACTTCTATTTATCTTTTAAGTTTTGATTGTTTTGTCATGCTGTTTGACTCATAGGTGCTATGCAAGCACACTACCATTAAGCTATAACCCAAACCCTAAAGAGAGTCTCTTAAGTGTGGACACACAAAAATAGTTTGAGCTGTTTGGAGAATACATTCTTTATGACACCTGCTAAGTTTTATGTGGATATTGGCCAAATGCTCTTTTGGAAAATTTGTTAAGCATTAAAACTTTGTATTTGCAGATAATATTCTATGAATCATTTAGTTGTATATTTATTTTAAACTCATTTTAAACATGTAGACTGTTTTCTTTTTTGTAATGTTGCATTATCTGTAACAGATTTTATAATGTACATTATTTCCTGCTTAAAATTTTAATTTTCTCTGACATTACTGATAGAAACTTATAGTAAATCTGAAAATAATTTATGTGATTAAGATTATGGTTTTTTTTGGTGATTGTGGAATAATTAATTTTTATTCACTTTAATTTATTATGCATTGGAAATACTTTTGAAAAAGACTTGCTGTGTAATTGATGCCAAACTCATAGCCTATAAAATGATACCTCCAGGAGGGCAGTAGTTGAGGCACTGGGTAGAGAAGAAACATCCAAAAGAAGCATATGAAATTATATGGTGGTCTGGAGAGATGGCTCAGTGGTTAAGAGCACTGTCTGCTCTTCCAGAGGTCCTGAGTTCAATTCCCAGCAACCACATGGTGGCTCCAAACCATCTGAAAAGAGATCTGGCGCCCTCCTCTGGCGAGTGGGTATAAATGGATGCAGATAGTTGTATACATAATAAATTAATTTTTTTTAAAAAAGAAATTATATGGCTTCATTTTCAATGTATTGTTTCAATGTAGGTCATAAACTTTCTGTTTATTCATTTTTGAAGAAAACCGAGAAATGAGCAAGACAAGTGGGCGACTTAACAATGGCATACCTCAAGTTCCCGTGAAAAGGGGAGAGTCCGAATTTGATGCTTTCAGGCAGTCTTTACCAGTTTTTGAGAAACAAGAAGAAATTGTTAAAATAATAAAAGAGAATAAAGTAGTTTTGATTGTAGGAGAAACTGGGTCTGGAAAGACTACACAGGTTTGTTTTTTCTTTGTTGTTTATTGAAGAAAATATAATTCATTCCATTTTATAGTTTTATGTCAAATTTATACTATGTGTTTAAAAAAACTGGCTATTTTACTAATAGTTATTTCATACATAAATTGTTACTGAGTGCTTACAGAGAATTTATAGAAAGGAAATCTTTCAAATTATTACTTTTTTGTTTTGTTATTTTTGTTTTTTGAGTTTGGGTGTATCTATGGAGTCCTGGCTGTCCTGGAGCTCACAGAGATCCTGTCTCTGCCTTCTGAGTGCTAGGATTAAAGAAAGGAGTGTGCTGCCACACCCTGCCTTTATTAGTTTTAAATCAGCGCCTTTGGTTTTAAGGAAACAAAAGTTTTATGTGATTTATTATATTGGAAGGAGGCTGTGTCTGGAGTTTAGATTCCTGTAATTTTATCAACTAGATTGAAGACTTCATCTGACTTTGTAACCATTGTGAGCTTGTTTCCATTTAGAAAATGGTACTGATAATTAGTTCATTTTAGGGTGAGGTTTAGAGATAATCTCTACAAAATGCCACATAATACCAACTAGCACCTAGTGTTAAGATTTACTTTAATGCTAAAGATTTTTGATGTTTCTGTTCTGTGAACCACAAAGCTAGACAGAATTTAAAGAAATCTATTAGCCTATTATTAGTCTATTATTCAGGGAACAAGATATTTTTGAATATTTCCCTTATTTATATTCATAATGTAAGTGATATGGAGGCTATTACATAGGAATTGAAAGAATTTTTTATTCATCTTTTTGTTTGAGAATTTCATGCATGCATTCCATGCATGTTGATTCAATTTACCTTTCTCTCCCCTTATCCCTTGCCATGATTTCTTCCGAACTTCATGAACTCATAAAAAATCCACTCAGTTCACTTATTATGCCTCTCAGGGGCTGTATCCCTGTCTTTCCCTTCACCAGCAGCCACCAGTTGCCGATAGCTCCTCAGCTAGTGCTGGAACTTCCTGAGTCCTTCTTCTACCCATGCTGGGATTTTGTGCGGATCTTGTGCAGATCCTGTGCAAGCAGTCACAGCCTCTGTGAGTTCGTGTGTACAGTGGCATCGACATGTGAACAAATGCTGTTTTGCTGTAGACATCTGCTGCCTATGGCTCCTACAGTCTTTCTGTTCTGTTTACAGTGATTCCTGAGCCCTGGGGGAAGGGATGTTATAGTGCTGTCCCATTTAGAGCTGAGCATTCCATAGTCTCTTATTCTCTGCACATTGACCAGTTAGAAGTCTCTGTATTAATTACCCTATACTGTGTAATGAAACTTCTCCGATGAGGGCTTAGCGATGTACTGATCTATGAGTATAAAGTTAAGAATGGGGAATTTGTTACTATATCCATTGAGCAAAATAATATTACTTACTCAGTATTATTCCCTAGGGCCTATATCCTAGCCTGCTCCAGGGTTTTGGCTCAGTTAACAGTACCAGGTATGAGTTCTGTCTTGTGCAGCAGGCTTTAAATCCAGTCCGAAAGGCGTGGTTTTACCGCAATAATAGTCACACCACTGTTGTTCAAGTGGCATACCTTGGTAGGCCATAGCTATTATAGCTAGCTCACAGGGCTCACATCTGGTTAAGACTATTAATTATTTTTCTTCCCTAGTAGTATGCATAACACCTTCAGCACTCTGTAAGCTAGTCAGTAAGGAGGATGCTTCCAGGTTAGTACCAACTTGATGTTTCATGTCCTGTGACTCAAGTATGTGATGTTTTCAGCAATAGGCTCCTACCAGGTTCTGGAGGGTAACCAAGAATAGTGGCAGTAGTCTGTAGTGTTTGGGTCTAGGGGACACCACTGACCAACAACTCAAAAAGATGTAACCTTACTGGCCTTTTTTATTTAATAGCCTTTTGTGTCTCCCATTATAGGGCAACTCCATTTAAATTCCTTTCATATAATGTGTATGGATTTTCAGCAAGCTCCTACAACAGTAGGTTCCCATGTGGCATTTTTAGGTCTTTAGCATTAGTTATTTCTTTCCACACTCTCCTCTACCGTGCCTTCTGCTCTCTTACACCAGTTGAATTCTTCCTATTTCTTTATTCCCCTTTCCCCCTGTATTTTGCCCCCTTCCCTTGAAACTACGCACCCTCATTGCCCTTAGTTTCTTCCCTTCTGTTGGTATTTCAATTTAGACACACTTCAGCTAGTATACATGTATGAGAGAGAATTTACAACACTTGTCTTTTTGGGTTTGGGTTATGTCAGTATCATTATGTACCACATGATTACAGTGCTCACAGAGACCAGAAGAAGGTCTCAAGTTCTCTGGGACTGGAGTTATAGGTAATTGTGAACTGCCATGTGGATGCTGGGAATCGAATGAACCCAGATACTCTGGAAGGGCAATGAGTGCTCTTAACTACTGAGCCGTCTTGCTAACTCCAATAAGATTTCTTATTTTAAATATGTATGACACTCCTGAATTTTATTATGGGAAAGTATTTGTAATTCTAGGATTGTGAGTATTTTTGTCTTCTTAATTTTCACTATTAAAAAATCATAGTGGAACTTTGTCATTTCATTGTCTTTATAAGATAATTTGGAGGGAAGAAACAGTAGTGGTTGTTACTATCCAAGATTCATTTTTTAGTATAGTCTGGTCATTTTGGCTTTCAGAAGTATTTGAAGGTCTTCTTTACCTTGAGTATTTTTTGTTAGATTTGATTTAAAATATTTAATTTAGTTCTCAGTGTAAACAATCTCTTCAAATTCACTTTCTCATTGGTATTGGCAGTTATGAGACTTACTGATTTGAAGATTAGTTAATGTCTTGACATGTTATGGACTTTGAAATTTGATTTGTGTTGATATTTCTGGGTATACAAAGTGAATGCTATCTCATAATGATTTAAAATTTTTATTTTAGATTCCTCAGTTCCTATTAGATGATTGCTTTAAGAATGGCATTCCCTGCCGAATATTTTGTACTCAGCCAAGACGATTAGCTGCTATTGCTGTGGCTGAAAGAGTTGCTGCCGAGAGAAGGGAAAGAATTGGTCAAACAATTGGTTATCAGATCCGATTAGAAAGCAGGTAAAGACAGTCTTCCACCATTCAACACGCTTAAAGCTGGCTAAATACATACATCTGACTAAAATAGACAATTAGATGATGAGGTTAAGTGGAGGGGGAAGTGTCAAGGGTCCCACCTTTGGACAGAGAACACAAGCAGTGAGTGACTGTGGGGAGAGGGAGATTAAGTAGTTGATTTTGAAACTATGAACACATTAACAACAAAATTGGACTTAGCAGATTGTGTTTAGCTATTTGTACACATGTATGTAACAATAATAAAGAATAAGGGTGTCTGATTTGAGAAAGTGTAGGAGACTGCTGGGGAGGAAAGGGCAGGGAGAAGTGGTTTAATTATATTTTATTTAAAAATAAAATTAACTTAAAAAATTACAAAAAGCTAAACAAAAAGTTAAGTGATAATTTTGCTACCAGTAAATCTATATTCAGATACTGATTTTATATCTAAACTTACTGAGGTTTTGTGCACCTGAGCTATAGATATAAACCCTATTACAGTGTTATGATCAAGTACAAGCTGCTTGACCTTATTGAGACTTTGTCTTATAAAACGAGCTACTAGGCCATCTAATGTCTAGGACATTAGTCTATTGAGAAGTTTGGATAGGAACTCAGTAAATAATAGTGACTCAGTTTTAGTGAAATAATGTGCAACTGAGTATCCCTTATCCAAAATGCTTGGGATCATGTGTAATCAGATTTTAGAATTTTTTGGATTTTGGATATCAGTGTAAACTTTACTGGTTGAGCATATGGAATGTTCAGCTAGACACTTGGGAGTTTGAATTTCCAGACCAAGGATGCTTAGCCTGCTGCAATACTTACTAATACCTTCTTAACAAGTATTAGCATTTCTTGGTTTGTAGCAATGACTGAAAACTTTTTTTCCCTTGTAATTTTTTTAACTGAACTAAAATTTTTAAATTTTTAACACACTTAAGTTCTTAAGTATATTGCTTACTTAATTAAAAGCTGTTTTTGATGAAATTTGTGATTGTCAGGCATATATATGTATTTTATGTAACTTTTCTAACAAACCACATGTAATAGTACACCAATAATATTCATAATAATATAAATATTATTTGTATTATTTGCTAGAGTGTATATGGTAAGCATTTAAAGTAACTATTTTGATTATGTAAAAGATTTGTAATTGTGCACTTTATTTTGATTTTTAAATAGGGTTTCTCCAAAGACACTTTTGACATTTTGCACTAATGGGGTATTGCTTCGTACATTGATGGCAGGTGATAGCACATTGTCAACTGTGACCCATGTCATTGTGGTAAGACTATTGTTAAATTTGCCATGTATAACTGAGACAGCTTAATATTTAATTACATAATGATATTTTTAGAATAGGGTAAGATAAAAATGAACTATTGTATTTAGTGGGTTCTCTTCAAGGTAATTTGGTAGTGTAATTATTAGAACTATATCTTACATTGCATAAAGGTGCTCTTATCATTGGGTGTCATGGGAGAGATAAACAGGAGAGAGTTTTTTGAAAATATGCTTTTCGTCTATGGAAGTAATGCATGCTTTTAGAATTTTCTAGAAATTTTTTAGAATTTTTAGTCATTATACTTAGCTTTTTAATTACTTCTTTAATGTTACAGATTTCCTAATTGTAGCTATATACTTTCTAGTCATTTAACTTTGTGGTTAAATTTCTGTATTAATTAGCTACTTGTAAAGTAATAATGACCCTCATTAAAGTATTCTAAGCTGTTTTCTAGTTTCTCTCAGATAAAAAATAGAATAAGTCGTTTTAGCCTTTAATTAGCCTTAAATAGTTTTAAATAGCCTTTAAGAGAAATCTTGCCTAACTAAAGGATTCACTTGCTCCCTAGTGCTAACATACACAGGTTTCTGTTTGTTTTTGCCTTCATTTGAGAAAGGATCTTGCTATATTGCTTAGGATGGCCTCCAGCTTGCCATCTTCTTGCTTTAGTCTCCTGAGTAGCAGAGATTACAAGGGTGTACTACCATATATATAAATTGATTTTGTTTATATTAAAACTGCATTTAATAGACAGAGATAATTTAGAATTTTTATAGGTTTTTTTTGGTTTTACATTCTATATGAAAAGGGACAGTACTTTGTCATCTACAATAAGTTGTTAATGTATGATAATATCTAAATTGTACATACTGTAAATGTTCTGTGGTATTGGTTGGCCTTTCCTTATTTAATTTAGCAAGGTAAATTTAGCAGTGCTTTTCTTTTAAAGACCGAGTTGTCCACAGTGTTTTACCTGATCCATGGTTTCTTTTCTATTCATTGCAGGATGAAGTGCATGAAAGGGATCGGTTCAGTGATTTTTTACTTACAAAATTAAGAGATTTGTTGCAAAAACACCCAACTTTGAAACTAATTCTTTCTAGTGCTGCCTTGGATGTGAATCTCTTCATAAGATATTTTGGAAGTTGTCCAGTGATATATAGTATGACTACCAGTTATTTTCTATAATTTCTTTGAAGTAAAATTTTGAAGTGTGATAATGTTATATTTGTTTATTTAAACAGAAACTGGGAGATATTCTGAAGTGGAGGATATTCGTTTATGTTTCCCGTGAGACAGGCTTCTTCATAGTGGTCTTTCTCTACTTTGACCTCTCTTTTGCATTGGTAGCTCTCTGATGCTGTGTAGCAAATCCAGTTATCGAAACTTAAAAAGAAACGAGCTGCTTTTAGTCCTGTGTTTCTCTTCAAACACTGTTCTGTAGCTTCTGCACTTTACTGCCTGATCGATCTCTGGGGACAGTTGTTTATACTGTCGTGTTGATCTACTTGCTGACCCCAGTTTCGAGGCTGTCAAACTCCAGACTTATTCTTGGTTGGTGAGGTCTATTCTAATGCTGGTACATTAGGCTTCCTTTACCTGTACTGCTTGAGCTGTACCTCTTACTTCCTTCACATTTTGGCTTGTCATCATTGGACCCAGATGCCTCTTTATGTTGTCTTTAACCCTGAGACTATGGCAGTTTGAATCTAGGTTCCCTGACTTGAATATTTTTTGTCTCGGGACTCTAATGTATATTAGTTTTAAACAATAGATTTTCCCCTAGTATGACCCACCACCTCTAAGCTGGGGGACCCCTGTCTACTCCTGACCTGTCCTGCTTTTTAAATTAGTTGTCTCAGCGATACCTACAACTGGGTCCGAGTTCTGTAGATAAACATTGTAGCTTCTTTTCTCCTGGACTGCCGAGTTTACCTTCTGGATGAGGCTTCCACTCCCCTTCCATATGCTAGAGAACAGTGCATCCTTTTTTCTTATTTTTTGTTTTGTTTCCCTGCACTTTTTAGCCATACTATGACTCCCTTTGTATGTTTCCCAAGCTCTTCCTCATTTGATTTTCTTTTCTTATCTTGGTACTTCTCCTTCACTGGGTTGTAGGAAGGTATCTTCTAGTCTGCCATCATATACTGAGGTCCTTTCATCATTATTTTATTAAGATTCACTATATAAGTTTTTATAAAAGATAATTAATTTACATTTTTGAATTATTAGAAGCTGTTCATGTATCATTCTTATTTTAAATTACATTTTATTCTGTGTGTGTGCACACACATGTGTGTAGATGCCATAGTGCTTGAGTGGAGGTTATAGGAAAATGTGAGAATTGGTTCTTTCCTTTCATGTGGGTCCCATTTGGGAATTCTTAGCAGTATTATTTTGGCATTGATTTAAATACTAAGCCAAATATTTAGATATTAGGATATATATATACACACACACTACATTGCATCACATTAGCCTTTGTGTGTGTGTGTGTGTGTGTGTGTGTGTGAGAGAGAGAGAGAGAGAGAGAGAGAGAGATATTGAGTCTCAGATTTCAGTTTATTTGGGATCATTGCTTCTTGAATCTTATTCTACATTACAGTGTTTTCTTAGTTTTCTCTCTGGATTTCTCTTTGTGTGCATGTACTCATATGTTGGTATTTTTGTTTTACCTTTGTTTCCTTAATTTTAATTCCTTTCTGTTTCTGTTCACTCTTTTCCTTCTCTCTTCCTGCCCTTTTTTACAACTCTACTAGCTATTGTGGATGTACATTTAATTTCCCTGGAAGATTTTTTTTTTTTAAATGCTCATGGGTCCTACTTTCAATTGTATATTGATGATTGTTCTCCAGCGTTTTGAGTGTAGAAATATTATAGGTACACCACTTCTAATATGTCCTAAACTGAATACTTAAAATATAAATTATGGTTTTCTTTTTGTCTTGCATACCTTGGGTCCACCTATATCTAGACTCATATCTAGAGTCACCTAAGTCTCAAACTTGTACATTTATGTAATAGTATTAACAATATTTCATTGGATATTAGGCACATGGAATTTATCCCTGTGCTCATTGAAAGTTTGCTTGTCTCCTTTCATAAGCTTAGAAAGAAACTGCAACTTTCACTGGCCAACATATTTCTCTTTAGCTTTCCTTGTTACTCAGAGAAACAAAGGTAAGCCAGATATCCAGGTATTATAGTAGATTAAACAAATATTTTGATAACAAATGTAATTATGATTTCTCTTTATTTTACTTTCTGTTTCAATAATCCATCTAGGATTTTTGTTTTGCTTTTTAGTGTTCACTATCACTATTCTTATTTAACCTGTTTTCTTCTTTTCCTGAACTATTTTTTATATTTATTTATTGTATATACAGTATTCTGTCTGTGTGTATGTCTGAAGGCCAGAAGAGGGCACCAGACCCCATTACAGATGGTTGTGAGCCACCATGTGGTTGCTGGGAATTGAACTCAGGACCTTTGAAAGAGCAGGCAATGCTCTTAACCTCTGAGCCATCTCTCCAGCCCCTTCCTGAACTATTATACATGTCACTGCCTAGTCTGGTTCTACTCTTCTGTTTTGAAAAATCCAATCTCCATATTATTTCTATGGCATTCCTTTCTGAAGACAAATTTTGATGATGCTGACCACTCTCTTAAGTTTTGAGTGACCTTTATTTCAAGACAAAGACCCTTAATGTGACTGCATTTGTTTCTCTGGCTTTATCCTTCCCGCACCTCTCCTATTCTCCTGCTTTCCTTTCAGTTTCTTGAAAACAGTCTTATTCTGGTTCCACCGCAGTGACTTTGTTCATAATGTGTTTTCTTCACATACTATGTACTTTCTGTGGAGTGCAGTTATTTTATGTCCTTGTTCTCCAGTGTCTCATAAAAATCTTTTTTTGATGTGATCACTTCCCTGTAGTACATTGTCATGATATCCCATACTTTTTTCTTATAGGACTTTCTTGTTGGACATTGAACATGTTTCTGTTTACATTTTTTTTTCATGTTTCTGGTCTTCCCTGCTTTGTGTGCCAAAATGGAAGTAGGAACTAGCACTATTTGTACTTAACCATGGTACTCCCAGTCTGTAATGTGATACCAGGCACCTGGCAAGTAGGTAGTAAACACTAGGGGAAAGCTCGTGAGCACTTGCTAGAATATGAAGTCAGTTGTCCCCTCTAGTCACATGTCTACAGAGCAGCGTTGCAGTTAATGGGAAGTATCGGGAGTCACTGGAAACGGTGACTTTGAACTTTTAAAATACTTTGAAACAGTTTTGTATATTTTAAGATGCTTCATTAAATGTGGAATTCTTACTTTTTTGTGAATTATCTATAGGATACAAATTGAATATTTAAATATTTTTATTCTTTAGTACAGGGAAGACCATTTGAAGTAAAAGAAATGTTTCTGGAAGATATTTTAAGAACTACTGGATATACCAACAAAGAAATGTTAAAGTACAAAAAGGAAAAGCAACGAGGTAAGGTTTTTAGCAAGAAAATTATTATTGAGATTTATTTCTTATAATGCTGTAGTCTTAGCTTAGAGAAGAACAAGGATACTTGAAAACATTTTCTCTTGCATATAATTATATAAAATTATATGATACTTTTGTCCTAAATAGACCTTTTAAGGGGATATTTTATTTATATTTATTTTTATTAAATGTGTGTGTGACGAGGTGTTTTATGTGCATGTATGTCTGTGTACCATGTGCATGCTGTGCCTGCAGAAGCCAGAAGAGATCTTAGAATCCCTGGAACTGCAGTTGCAGCTGACTTTGAGCCACCCCATGGGTCCTGAGAACAGAACTCAGGTCCTCTGGAACGACAGCTATTGTTCTTAATGGCTGAGGCATCTTTCTAACCTTTTGGGATATACTTTTGTATTCTGGCTTATATCCAGAAGTTATAATCTGTGGAAAGGAACTTAAAGTACATGTTGAAATTGAAGAGGTTGAGTGTGTCTGAATCCATAGGCCTAGTCAGGGTTTTCAGAAAGCAGTGGATATGTGGTGGCTCCCCATAGCTTACCTCATTAGGTAGAATTGAGACATTAATGGGAGGGAGTGGAAGGAGTGTCTTGATTGATGACAGCAGGCTTATCTTTCTGGAAAATGTTGGTTTCTAACTTTTTATTTTCTAAAACATGATCTTACTTGGCCTGATTATGACATGGCTCACGTTGGCCTGAACTTGATTAATCTTTTTTCTCTGCTTAGTGAATACTAGGTTACAGCATGTTCGCTATTCCCAGCAAGATTTCCAAATCTGGTATTATTATAGGATTTCATCTTTATTTCCATTTTATCAATATCTGCTTTAAGAAATTCTTACAGTGGCATACTGTATGTCTGTGTATGCATTAGAATTTATGTCTTTTTTTCCTTTTTATAGTATAATTGGTTATACTCTTATTTCTTTGTTTACTATGTATGGTCAGGGGCACACAACTATTGATTCACCACCTAAATTTGTAGTTAGTGATTTCTCTGTCACTGCAGAGGACATCATTGCTTGCATGCAAATTATAAAATGTAGATGTTGAAACTTTTGAAACTTCTGATTTTTCGTATCTGAAACAATTGAGATAAGTTTTATGATTTTCTATGGATATTAGTCATTGACTTAAACAATAAGTATATTGTGGGGAAAGATGCTCTTCTTGAAACTCTGGGTTAGAAGCAAACTTCTTCCCCGTAGACAAATTTTTTTTATGTAGTTTCATATGTCTTTATGTTGCACATAACTTTATGAAAGACCCAATGTATTTTGTAAGAGTAACTCCAAAGTAAAGCCAGCTGTCAAGCAGTATAAGATTCACTTAGGTTTTTGGTTTTGTTTCTTATTTTTTTAAACAAATGAACACATTATCAAAAGGAAAGGACTTATCTACTTATTTTCTTTCCTTTATAATTTAGAAGAGAAACAGCAGACCACACTCACAGAATGGTACTCAGCTCAAGAGAATACTTTCAAGCCTGAGTCTCAGAGACAGAGAGCTGTTGCAAGTGTGTCTGAAGAGTATGATTTATTAGATGATGGAGGTGATGCTGTCTTTAGTCAGCTGGTAAGATGCTATTTTAATATACTGGTTTGTAATGATATTTTGAGTAAAAATTTTGTAGATTAAACAACTTAAATGAGGTTATACTATTTCTTTTTTACTTTGTTAGTAGGAGGCAATTCTCTTAGTTTACTTTGCTTTACAACATATTTTCAGAATCTACAATAATCTACCTGTTTTTTTAAAAAGGGTTGGTGATTAAATTTAGGGCTTTGTAAGCATTTTACTCTTGAGCAATACTCATGATCCAAACTTTATTTTTAGAAGAATAATTTAGCTACTTTTTAAGGTTTGTTTCTTTTTATTTTATGCATACCAACATTTTGCCTACTTGTATGTGTGTGCATATCAGTGAACATAGCCTCAGAGCCCATAGGAGACAATGGGATCCCCTGGTGATTACATGTGCCACCATGTAAGTGCTGGTGGGAGCCAGATGCCGGGTCTCTGCCAAAGCAGCAAGTGCTCTTAACTACAGAGCTATCTTTCCAGCCCCAGGTTTAGAACCCCCCCTCCATGAGATGTGGGGTTTAAGTTCTGATGAATCTAGAAGAATTATGCTTGAGTTTTAACAGAGACTCCTAAAGGATGCTTTAAAATGGTTTAGCGTATGGAAGATCCATTTGACTTATTGATCAGCATTTGACAGTGATCCTAGCTTTTAATGGCTGAGCAATTTTTCTAGTCAGTGATTAGCATTTTGACTGTGTAAACTGGTGGTTTTAAGAACCGAGTTGGGTATTATTCACAGGAGAAGCTTTTAAGGCCTGGTATAATCTGTTTCTCTGCCAACATAACTCCTTTGAGGGGGAGTTAGGATAGGAAAGGAATTCTTTTTGGGTTTTTGAGACAGTCCATGTTATCTGGAAATTGATATGTAGCACAAGATGGCTTTGAAACTTGTGTTCTCCTGCCTCAATTTTCTTTTTTTTCTTCTTTTAAACACTGCCTGGCCCATTAGTTTCAGCCTCTTAACCCATTTCTAATAATCTATGTAGCACCACGAGGTGCACTTACCAAGAAAGATCTTAACCTGCATCTGTCTGGAGTGGGAGAACCATCGCGACTCACTGACTCAGCTTTCTTTCTCCCAGCATTCTGTTCTGTTTACTCCACCCACCCAAGGGTTGGCCTATCAAATGGGCTTCTGCCTCAATTTTCTGAGTTGCTGAGACTATAGTTGAGAGCCTCCATGCCAGGAGAAACTCTGATATACTTGATAGTGGTATTAGTGTTAAACTCTATGGTGATGTTTCCTCTGATGTAGCTGGAAAGAAACCAGTGCTGTGTAGGTACATTTACCACCAGAAGCACAATTAGTTAATGTGGCAAAATCATGTGGCTAGTACTTTGCTGACAAGCTCACTTTTAGATAAATGATGACTGTAGTATCAAAATGTAGTGAAGGGTTGCTTGTTGGTTCCGGGCCACCTGGCTAGAGTAGGCCCAAAATAATCACATAGAAACTGTATTATTAAATCTCTGCTTGGCTTATTAGCTCTAGCTTCTTATTGGCTAACTCTTACATCTTAATTTAACCCATTTCTATTTATCTGTGCATCACCAAGAGGTGATCACCTACCAGCAAAGTTTTAGCACATCTATCTCCAGTGGCAAATCCATAGTGTCCCTCTCTCTGCCTTCCTTCTCCCAGCATTCAGTCCAGTTTTCCCTGCCTACCTAAGTTCTGCCCTGCTATAGGTCCAAAGCATTTCTTTATTCATTAATGGTAATCATAGCATATAGAGGGAAATTCTACATCAATACAGTATTATGAAAAATAATGTGTATAAGATGAAATTAGAGACTTATGCTATAATAGTATATGGATGTTGTATGCTTTTTAATTCTTATGATGATTGTGGCTATTTTACTTTCCTTGTAGTAAGCAAATAGTAAGCAATTTGATAATTGTAATCTTTGCTTTTTGTTTTCAAAAGACAGAAAAAGATGTGAATTGCCTTGAACCATGGTTAATCAAAGAAATGGATGCTTGCCTTTCTGACATATGGCTACATAAAGATGTTGATGCTTTTGCTCAGGTCTTTCATCTTATTTTAACTGAAAATGTTAGTGGTAAGTTTATTTAAATTAAAACAATTTCTCTTGCCATTATTTGTGATACAAATAGAGTATAATTTAAAGAGTATGTATGACATGTTTTGTTTACTATAATTTTATTTTTAAGTGCTTTATATTGTTTTGAATATGTTAATATCTCTAAAGTGATTTCCTTTAGGTCCTCACAGATACTACAGTTACTTACAAAAATGTTTTTATATATTTGTGTTGTAATACATCCATGTAATTATTTCTGTATTTGTGTTGTATACATTCATGTAATCTGGTCCTTGACTCCATGATGTAAGAAAAAAATTAGGGTCACAAAGAGGTTTGAGGAAGATGAAAGATGGGTAATAACTTTGGGATTCTTAGAGAGTCATCTAGTAAATGATGATTTTATTACCTTTGTATGGGCTCAGGTTCTGATCCATATACACTTACATACTTGATATCATGTGCTATATGTCTTCACTAATGAATTGTTGTCCTGTTTTATTTGTTGACTTTCTTGGATATTGACAGTCATGCATCCAGTCTGTAATTCTGTAGACTTCTAGTCAGCAGGCAGAATGGTCACAGAAAATCAGCACTGGGAAGGCTTTAGGAGTCAAATATTCTTATCTCCTTACCTAAACCCCTAGCATTGTTACTGTTATGATTATTGACTATTTTGTTTTTTAAACATTTTTTTTTTGTTTTTAGCTTTTGATGTTTCAGCCTGGCTTTTTTTTTTTTCATTTTTTAAAAAAATCTATTCTTGGTTTTCCTGGCAGAAAATTTTCCTCCCTCTTCCCTCATATTCAAGTCCATGGGCCTCAATTCTAAGGCTTTCATTTTATTTTTTTATTTACATCTACTCTCTTAGATGGCTATGATGGTTAGCATTAATTGTCAACTTGACATACTCTCAAGTTTCCTGGGAAGAGAGTGATTGTCTACATTGGGCTGGTCTGCAGGAGTTGCTATAATTGATATGGGAAGACCCAGCCCACTGTGGGCTTGGGGTAGAGGGTCCTGAACTATGTAAGAGTGGGTAATTCAAACTGAAAACAACAAAAAAGCAACATTGTCTATTCATTTTTCTCTACTCTTTACTAAATCTCTAATTCCCTGCATTGACTTCCTCAAAGTGATGGACCATGGCTTGGAATTGTAAGCGGAATAAAAGCCCTTTCTTCCCTGCGTTCCTCTTTGTCAGTATATTTATCATAGCAGCAGAACTGAAGCTAGAACAGTGGCTTTAAGTATCTATTTTAAATGACCCCTAAGTTTTTAAATTTATTTTTTAAGATGATGTCCCATGACTGTTGTCGTAATCCACCAACTATTTTTCTTTTGTCAGGAAATTGTGTTTTCCTTAGAGGGATCAGATTATCTATCCAAAAATCCCACTGGCCTACTTTTCCCTTGCTTCTGATTATATTGTGAAGAAAATAAAGTCCTTTCTATGACTGAATCTGTGATGTCTTTAAATGTAAATGCCACTGTTGATTTGTGTATTTAAAACTTGTTCCTGCTGGTGGTGCTGCTTGGGAAGTTGGAAGCTTTAGGAGGTAGAACTTTTGGTGGAAATGGAACAGTGTGAATGGGCTTGAGGCTTTTATGGCTCAGTCCTGCCTCCTGTCATGCTGTTTTCTGATCTATAAATTGTGACCAAGTGATCTCATGCTCCTGCCTCAAGCCCATGAGCCACTGCCACTGCTTTGCCATGTCCTTACCTTCAGGATGGACTGTAAACTCTCAAACCAAGAACCAGAATAAACCTGTTCCCTTAACTTCTTATCAGGTACTGGATCATATTCAGAGAAAAGTAGCTGATCCAACACCTTCCTTCCCAATCTTGTTTTCCATCACTCTTGTTTTTGTTCACTGTTCTTTAGCAACATGAATTGCTTTTCTTTTTTTAATATTTTTTAATTACACTTTACGTAGTGTGTTTGTATTTGTATTGGAGGACACACATGCCGTGGGTTATGTGTGAAGGTCAAAAACAACTTGCAGGAGTTGATTCTTTCCTTCTTCCATGTAGGTTCTAGGAATGGAACTTAGTTCTCAGTTCAGGGTGGGTGGAAGATGCCTTTCCCTTCTAAGGTGTTTAATGGACCTGATTTCCTTGTATGTGTTGATAGAGTCCTTTAATTTTATTTATTTTGTTTAAGTGGAATCCTGACTATAGACTCAATGGCCTCTTTCATCTAGGTTTCTGGTTAGTTATTGTCTCTCAGAGAGGCTTTTTCTGGTCAATAAAACTGTGCCCCTTTCTTACTATTTTGTTAATCTACTTTGTCATTTCTTTATTGACTTTGATTATTTGTCATTTATTGTTGTTGCTGCTCCTGCTGTTGTTGTTGCTCATACCGTCTTACACTGAAATGTAACTTTGTGAGGACAGAGCCTTGTCTGTTTTACTCTTCTGTGGGTTCACAGGGTTTGTAACAAATGATCAAATATTTGCTCAATAATCCTAAATATGGAAGGTGACAGGAAATTCCTTGCCTCTTTTATTTTCTTTTTTTCTTGTGGGTTTGATTGTTTGCTTCTTGGAGAGGTTCTGGCTGGCACATGATCTTCCTGCCTCAGCCTTCTAAGTGCTGGAATTAAATATGGGACCCAACACACCAGGCAGCATTCTTATTTGAAGGTGTTTTCAGTTGTCCATTAATATGTTGAATTAATACGTTTTTCACATACATACCTTCTGTCTTTTTCTGCTTTTGGTGTGATAAGAGATTTAGTATGTGTTTATGCCTGACAGATTTTCTAGATTGTGAAGACAATTTTTCCTTTTAAGCTTTTTTTCAGCCAACCATACTTGTTTTATTTCAACACCTTTTCTTTGTTGTTTGTTTCCTAACATGACCCATCTAGTCCCTTAGTTCCCTGGTTTGCACCACTTTTGGATAGTTGTAGTTGATAAACAAACACTTTCAAGAACTGTAGCTGGGGCTTAGGGAGATGGTGTAGTGGATAAAAAGGCTGGTCGTAAATCCTGAGGATGTGAGTTTGATCCTGGAATCCACATGGTAGAAGAGAACTGATTCCTTCCTTATGTTAATCCTCTGACCTTCACACAGGTGTCATGTTATGTGTCTCCCAATAAATAAGTAAATAAATGTAAAAAATATGTAAATACATGTTCTCTGGTCCTCAGCTTAATTTCTTAACAAAAACTGTTTTTTTAAAGATTTATTTATTTATTATGTATACAGTATTCTGCCTACATGTGTACATGCACCCCAGAAGAGGGCACCAGACCCTATTACAGATGGTTGTGAGCCACCATGTGGCTGCTGGGAATTGAACTCAGGACCTCTGGAAGAAGAGTCAGTGCTCTTAACCACTGAGCCATCTCTCTAGCCCCCATATTCTTTTTAAAATTACAATTTCTTACCTATATTAATCCAATCAATTGTACTTTGTTTACTACAATGTCTTGATGACTCATATTGATTTTGAAAATTCTAGTTCATTTTTTTAAAGATGGAAATTTATTATATTTTTTCTGTTTTGTATTTGTTGTTTGGAATTATGTTAAGTGTAAATATTGTTTTTTTATTCCTTGAGGATTTCATCTTAAAGGTAGACTTGTACTGCTGTTTTAAAAACAATTTTAAAAAGTTCTGTTCCTTATGTTATGAGCTTTCTTGGTTTACTAATTTAGTGAGGCTGGGTCAGCTATTGTGGTAACAGCATTTAGATTAATATTTGGATATGATTATTAACTCGTGTCTTGTATATCTACTAGTCAACAGACCTCTTCATAAAAATGATCTCTTAGGATTTCTTATTCATTGTAAATGTATTATCCTCTATGGATACACATTTTTAAAGTTCATCATGTTTTTAAAAATTCATTTGAGAAGTAGTATTTTGTTTTAAAAAGAGACATTTTTATCATGCTGTTTTCTAGGCTTTCCCCCATTATTTCAATATTTATCTTCATAATTTAGTAAACTTACTTGAACTTTTAGAGGTTTAAAATCTGAGAAGTACTGTTTTAAAATATTGATAATGTATTTTAAAAACTTAACTATGACTCTTGGCTGTCTTCCTTGGTTTCTCTGTTGATTACTAGATTATTTTGACAGTGGTCCTCAGAATATGTAGTGTTTATTTCTCTTCATGAGTTTTTATTTCCCTCAGTTTTGTATTATAGTATCTTAAGTTATATGAGAAAAAAATGTCAAGAACTTTGCTTGAAGTCTTAAGAACATTTATTTTTAGTTATTGATGAAAAATTAAGTTTTGAATTAATATTTTGTTACTGAGTAAACATGGCAACATGTAGATTAAAAAATTATTATTTAAGGATCCTGCAAGCCAATAGCCTTCTCTTTTCTTAATTATATAAGTAAGCATTAGCTACTTTCTTCCTATACCTCCAGTGATAGTCTTTCTACCCTTTTTATGCAAGAGAATCTTAGATTTCGTTCTGAATGGGATAAAGATTATATAATGTTGCTGTCATTTAAAAATGAAGGAACAAATCCCAGGTTAATTATGTTAGTCAATTCTAGTACTTGACTGAAACAATGAAAGTCTTTAACATTTGGAATTTAACATCTTATCTTTTTATTCTTTTAGTTGATTACAGACATAGTGAGACCAGTGCCACAGCTCTGATGGTTGCCGCTGGACGGGGTTTTACGAGTCAAGTAGAACAGTTAATTAGTATGGGAGCCAATGTCCACAGTAAAGCATCAAATGGCTGGTAAATTTAGATTGTGTCCATTCTTTGTATGTCATGGTATAGTTGCACATGCCTTTTAAAAATTCTTATTATTGGGGCAGTGGTGGCGCATGCCTTTAATCCCAGCACTAGGGAGGCAGAGGCAAGCAGATCTCTGTGAGTTCGAGGCCAGCCTGGTCTACAGAGCTAGTTCCAGGACAGGCTCCAAAGTTACAGAGAAACTCTGTCTTGAGAAATAAAAACAAACAAACAAAAACTTATGATTATCCCTATTTTAAAATCTATTGTATAATAATTACTGGTACATCTCTAATGAGTAAATAAATAATCCTGGATGACTAGTTTCATAATTTTGAAAAATTTGTAATTTGAAAATTTGTAATTACATAATTATAAAATATTTCTCAGTTTGGTATCTTTGAATTTTATAGGATGGCTTTAGATTGGGCTAAGCACTTTGGACAAACTGAAATTGTGGATCTTCTAGAATCTTACAGGTAAAACCTTACACTATTTAAAATGAATTCTATCTTTAAAAAAAATCTTAGCCATGTAAATCATATATTCTGTAACAGGTAAGCTACTTACAGCCTTTTACTGAGAGATTTATTTTTATAATTATAAAAATTTTATTCTTGACTGTTATGAACATGAACACAGATCTTTAAATTGACAGTTAATGCAGTTATTTATCTATCTATCTATCCATCCATCCATCCATTGCTCTTTATCTATACATAGGAGTGGAATTTCTAGGGGATATAGTTAACACTGTGTTTATCCTTTGGAGAACTGTCACAGTGTTCCATAATTGCTGTACTAGTCTATATTTATTCTAGGAATGTTCTATTATTTCTGCACCATTCCTGTACTTAACTGTGTCTTTGACCTTAACCTTCCTTTTGGTTGTGCAATGGTATTATTTTGGTTTTGCTATATATTTCCATAGTGAAAGGTGATGCTAAACATTTTGATGTATTTCTAGGTCATTATTGCATGCATTTTCTTGATCAAGTGTCTTTAGATTGTGATTTTTTTTATCAAATTTGTCACTTATCCAATTTAACATGAAACTGTGCTTGCAACCAACACATAAATTAATTATAGATTGTACATTAAGTGACCCCTTCCTTGGGGCATATTGGAAATTTAGAGGAAATAATGGGTAACTTTAAGTCAGTCTGTCTTTCTTTCTTAATATAAAAACTGACTTGGTATTTTTCTTAGTGCTTCATTGGAATTTGGAAATCTAGATGAAAGTTCTTTGGTTCAAACAAATGGAAATGACCTCAGTGTAGAAGACAGAGAGCTGTTGAAAGCTTACCATCATAGTTTTGATGATGAAAAGGTAGACTTGGATTTGATCATGCATCTTCTATACAATATCTGCCATAGTTGTGATGCTGGTAAGTGCTGTCTGAAAGACATGGAGCATACTGTGTTGAAAAATTAGTATTTAGTTGTTAAATTTTTCTGTAATTCTGTTGATAGTGATGTGTGAATAGTAGTTCTTTTATAATCATGTACTAATGTGTGAAATCACATATTATTCTTTATAATGAGTTTTGTTGATTATGTCTGATTTTACAAGATTAAATACTAAAAATATTTTTCTCCAAGGTGCAATATTAATTTTTCTACCTGGATATGATGAAATTGTTGGTTTGAGGGATCGTATCCTGTTTGATGACAAGCGGTTTGCTGACAATACACATAGGTAAACTATAAAGCTTTGTACTTGCTGTTCAAGCTAACAGACAGATTCTTTGTTGCTCAAGCTAACAAACAGGTTCTATAGTTCATTTTCTCTTCTCAATTGTAATAGATATCAAGTCTTTATGCTCCATTCAAATATGCAGACATCTGATCAAAAGAAGGTATTAAAAAATCCACCTGCAGGTGTCCGAAAAATAGTAAGCATCATAAGATCTTTTATGTTCTACTTTTGTTATTCATTTGTCTATTTTCATATTAATCTTAAAATAACATTCCATTTCAGATCCTTTCCACCAATATTGCTGAAACAAGCATCACTGTCAATGATGTTGTCTTTGTTATTGATTCTGGTAAGGTGAAGGAGGTATGTATGAATAAGTTATATTTGTACCAAATGAAGAAGATTGAGTTCCAGTCCAACAGCTACTTTAGTAAAACTTCATTTTAGATGCAAATTTCTTTATAGATGAATTTAGCATAATAAATGTTTTACCAAACTGTTCTAACTTATATTTAGTATGTTGGGTATATTTTAGTGATCCAACAAATTAGACAAGAAGATTCACTTCTACTTACTAACTAGTAGTAGAACAGTAAAGAATTAGAATATGCACAGTAAAAATTTGTCACATAGTGGCAATTTGATTTACATATTTTCTATTTTCCTCTTATATTTGGGGATGGGTTGTAGCCCTCTTATTCATTGATAGAACCTAATGCCTTACATACAGTGTGTGTGCATATGTGTGTGTATAGTAGGTGTTCTAAAGGTATTTAGATCAAGAGAAACTTGATTAACAAAGGAAAACAAAATCCTAAAAATTGAGAAAGATGTATGCTGGGACCTCATGCTTCCAGATGCACATTTACCTACACATTTACACGTGCACAGACGCATACATACAAAACCAACAGCAGTGCAAATTAGGGTGAACATCCCAGTAGTTAGCCAACAGTGGAAATCACTGCTCGGCTTTGTGCAAAAAGAGTTTTTTTTTCTTACTCTTTTATCTACTGTCTCTTGATACTTTCATACTACTGTAGCCATTCGTAAATTGCATCAAAGACATCAAAGCATAAAATATTTACTATTAGACCCTTTGCAAAAAATTTTCTTCTCTCAAAAATAAGTGATAGCATTTGCTTGTTTTCAGTATTAACATTACTAATAATTCCCAGCGCCATAACTTTTAATAGATCAAATGATAGAGGTAATTAGTTTTTTAAGGAAGAAATGATAAAATGGATATAAGTAATCATTTTAGTGTGAAAAATTCATGTTTTCAATGTAATTTTAGTATCACCTTACAGAGAATAAAATTTCTTGTGGTTTTGATCAAACTCATTGTAAAGGAAGAGTAAACTGTTTCAGCTATAGTGTTAAAACTAAGTGATGTGTCTTTACATACCAAGACTTGTCAGATGTGCTGAATACCTGCCCTCTCTGTACTGGGTAGGCTGAGACAGGAGGATCTAAGTAAAGTTAAGGCTAACTTGGGCTACATTGCAAGAACCTGTCTCAAAAATGAAAAAGCAGTAGGATCAAAACCCATTGCCATTGTTCTTTGTGGAAGCCTAGGCAGTTTGGATGCTCACCTTACTAGACCTGGATGGAGGTGGGTGGTCCTTGGACTTCCCACAGGGCAGGGAACCCTGATTGCTCTTTGGGCTGACGAGGGAGGAGGACTTGATCGGGGGAGAGGGAGGGAAATGGGAGGCGGTGGCGGGGAGGAAGCAGAAATCTTTAATAAATAAATAAATAAAAATTTAAAAAAAATGAAAAAGAGAGTGCAGATGTATTGCTCTTATGTTATTTAAATTTTAGAAATTAATTCTTCTAGGTGTTATCAAATCATGACTTTAGCACAGTAATAGTATCAAAAGTATTATACATACAAAACTAACAAATGAAACAAATATTATAAGCTAAGCAACATACTTTCTGAAAATTTCTTGACTAAACTTATTAGAAAATGCATTTGTATTTGCTCTGTTTAATTAATTTTATACAAGGGAAAGCAAGGGCATGGAATACTTTTTAAACCACTTCTACAGCAGATCTTTACTTTTGACCATTTGAGGAAGTCTAGTGTTAGTAATGATTATATTTTTCTTTGAGACATTCAAGAAAGGTTAATTTCTGAGTAACTCAGCAGGATGTTACTTCACTTAGAGGTGTTTAGTTTGGTAATTATTAGTCATTCTTCCAGAGATTTACTCTTTGAGATGTATTTTGGCAATTTTTTTTCTAGTCATTCTTATTTCTTAAAAATGATGTAAATATGATAGAAAAAATCTCCAGAGAATCCTATTTTTGCTTTTTATTCTGTGTTTTGTTTGTTTTTTATAATAATTTCTATTTTTTGACATGATAATCACATCATTCCTTCCCTTTTTTCTGACTCATCCCTGGCCCTTACTTTTTTTTTTTTTTAAAAGTCCTCTTTTTCTTTTTTATTTATTTATATATATTTCTAAATCTATAAATCCAGTCTGCTCAGTGTATGTAGTGTAATCTGTGTCCATGTGATCTCAGGGCTGACCACTTGATATTGGATAACTAATTGGTGTATTTTTGCCCGAGAAAGACCATTTCTCCTGCTCTCGGCATTCCCCAGTTGCCTCTAGGGTTGAGGCCCTGCAAGCTCTCCCTCTTCATGTTAGGATATCCATTAGTGGCATCCGTGGTCTTGTAATCTCTAGGCAGTCATATGGATGTCATAATAAAGTCTTGGTGTCCTGTGAGAATCAGTTGTTATTAAACTGTAGGAGACAGTTGCAAAATGCCCCACACAGCACAGCATGGAGATTGTGTAGATCTTCAAAGCTTTGATGGCTGTCCGTTGTTTTTCATTATAATGTTTATATCCAACAAATGTGAGTTTTTAAGAATCAGTTTCTTCAATGGAGGAAGGGTAGATGGGGTAGGGAGAGAAGGTGGAGAGATTGGGAAGAGGGGAGAGAGGAGAAGTTTTGGTTAAGATTTAAAAACAAGAAAATAAAACAAACAGAACAGAAAAAATAATCAGTTTATTCTAATTAATCAAGAGGGGCTTTTAAGTTTAACTTGGGCATGTTAAAATATCTATATTCTCATTAGTACCAACCATGTTTTAACATAAAGATGATTTAATATTGCAGAAATCCTTTGATGCACTGAATTTTGTTACAATGTTAAAAATGGTATGGATTTCCAAAGCTAGTGCCATACAGCGCAAAGGCAGGTAATGTATATTTTATGTTATAATTACATGCATAATCTATATTCATTTACTTGCCTGTTTGATAATAATATTATATAAATTGCATATTGTATAATGTTCCTTTTATATGTGTCACATTAGTCTTAATTTTATTTTATTTATTATTTTTTTAAATAAAAGTCAACATTTATGACTACGCCAGCGATGCAAAGCAGTAACTCAAGGAGAGGCTCTGAAGGTGGCAAGTCGGATTTATATGCTCGATTGACTAGTTTCTTCTCATTTTGAACATGATTTTTTTTCCGGACCACACAGTGAGACTTTATTTCAGAAAAGACATGCTAGAATCAAGAACCATTGCTCTAGACGGTCAAACTGTGTCTATCGTAAAAAATTATAAAATTTAGATTTTATCTATCGATGCTTACCATGATAAAAGTAACATTAAATGCTTTTATGCATCCCCATTTTTTTAAGTTACATTTCTATGTTTAACTTATTTACTGATATAACCAATTAAGCTAATTCGTTCTTTCTATTATGTCTTCTGGAATTTCTTTTTTTTTTAATTGATATTTATTGAACTCTACATTTTTCTCTGCTCTCGTTCCTGCCTCTCCACTCCCACTTCAACCCTCCCCGAAGGTCCCCATGCTCCCAATTTACTCAGGAGATCTTGTCTTTTTCTACTTTCTACTTCCTATGTAGATTATATCTATGTAAATCTCTCTTAGTGTCCTCATTGTTGTCTAAGTTCTCTGGGATTGTGGTTTGTAGGCTGCCTTTCTTTGCTTCATGTTTAAAACCACCTATGAGTGAGTATATGTGATAATTATCGTTCTGTGTCTGGGTTACCTCACTCAAAATAATGTTTTCTAGCTCCATCCATTTTCATGCAAAATTCAAGCTGTTGTTATTTTTTTCTGCTGTGTAGTACTCCATTGTGTAAATGTACCACATTTTTCTTATCCATTCTTCTATCGAGGGGCATTTAGGTTGTTTCCAGGTTCTGGCTATGACAAACAATGCTGCTATGAATATAGTTGAACACATGTCCTTGTGGCACGATTGAGCATCCTTTGGATTCATACCCAAAAGTGGTATTACTGGGTCTTGAGGAAGGTTGTTTCCTAATTTTCTGAGAAATCACCACACTGACATCCGAAGGGGCTGTACCAGCTTGCATTCCCACCAGCAAAGCAGAAGTGTTCCCTTTTCCCCACAACCTCTCCAGCATAAGTTGTCATCGGTGTTTTTGATTTTGGCCATTTTTACAGGTGTAAGATGTAGTCTCAGAGATGTTTTGATTTGCATTTCTCTGATGACTAAGGATGTTGAACATTTTCTTAAGTGTCTTTCAGCCATTTTAGATTCCTCTGTTGACAGTTCTCTGTTTAGGTCTGTACTCCATTTTTTTTATTGGATTATGTGATCTTTTGATGTCCAATTTCTTGAGTTCTTTGTATATTTTGGAGATCAGACCTCTGTCTGATGTGGGGTTAGTGAAGATCTTTCCCCATTCTGTAGGCTGTTGTTTTGTCTTGTTGACCATGTCCTTTGCTTTACAAAGAAGCTTTTCAGTTCCAGGAGTCCCATTTATTAATTGTTTCTCTCAGTGTCTGTGCTGCTGGGGTTATATTTAGGAAGTGGTTCCCTGTGCCAATACATTCAAATATACTTCCCACTTTCTCTTCTATAAGGTTCAGTGTGGCTGGCTTTATGTTGAAGTCTTTGATCCATTTGGACTTGAGTTTTGTGCATGGTGATAGATATGGGTCTATTTTCATTCTTCTACATGTTGATATCCAGATATGCCAGCACCACTTGTTAAATATGCTTTCTTTTTTCCCTTTGATATTTTTTGCTTCTTTATCAAAGATAGGTGTTCGAAGATGTGTGGATTGGTATCCGGGTCTTCTATTCAATTTCTTTGGTCCTCCTGTCTGTTCTTATGCTAATATCAGGCTGTTTTCAGTACTTTAGCTCTGTAGTAGAGTTTGAAGTCAGGGATTGTGATGCCTCCAAAAGTTCTTTTATTATACAGGATTGTTTTGGCTATCCTGGGTTTTTTTGCTTTTCCAAATGAAGTTGAGTACTGTTCTTTTGAGGTCTCTGAAGAATTTTGCTGGGATTTTGATAGACATTGCGTTGAATTAGTCTTAATTTTATACTGTCTTTGCCATGCAAATTGTTTTGGTACTTTAAAATAATTAGCTAAAAAGATTTAAATCACATTTATTTAGGTTTTTTTTTTTTTTTTTTTTTTTTTTTTTTTTTTTTTTTTAGTTAGTGTGTGTGTGTGAGAGAGAGAGAGAGAAAGAAAGGCTATGACACACATTTGACATTCAAAGAATACCTTTCAGGAATTCGTTTTCTTCTTCTACAATGTGGTTCCTGAGAATAGAACTAAGTTGCTGGGCTTGGTCACAAGTGTCTTTAACCCCTGGACTATCTCACTGGCACATTTGGGTACATTTTCACAAGTTAAATTTAGGCCATATTGCTGGCTCAAGTGAGACCAGAGGGCAGTTGAGCCCATAGTCCCACTTGTATCTGTGCACCTGTTGACAGTTGTTAGCTACTGGGAGCGGGAGAGACAGTTTTCTTGAAAGGTGTAGCCTCTGTTGACTATGTGTTGGTGGAAGACCAGATATCTGAGACTACTTGGACAGCACAAATTGATCTTAAAGGCTTTTGTTGTTTGTTTTGTTTGGTTACAAAAAAAGTAATAAGGTTGGGTAGGCAGGAAGTGGGGATGGATCTGGGAAGCATTTTGTGTGTTTGTGTGTGTGTGAATATGGTCAAGAGAAAAAAATTGAAACTGTAGTATAATTCATGTTAAGATAAAAGACATTCAAAGGAAGCAGATATTATAAACATTTAAAATATAGGACAAAGGAATAATTTCTTCAGAATACAAGTAAAATCTTTATAATTAAAATAATTTTCGTACAGGCCAAAATGGTTTATCAAAATGAAATTTATACATGTCCTGCTAATGCATTGTTTCACATATTGTCCTTGAGCTAGCAATCCTTTTGTCTATATCTCCCAGTTGCTGCCTTTACGTGTAACCAATTACCCAAGCATTTCACTATTGATGGACACTACCCAGTTGCCGTATCTTTTATTATAATGTTGCAAAGACCAGTCTCAAAAAACATCTTTACCTCATGTATATCAAAGTGAATACAAATCAATGAAGCACTACGATTTTTCTTATTAGTCTGAGACTAATGAACATGTTTTATTGAATAGAACATAGAGGCAAAAACATTGGTTTAAATATTTTGCTAATGGGAGTTTATATTGGTATGAGTTCTTCAGAAGCTAAATTAAAACTATTTCTAAGTCTTCTTTTTATTATATAATCCATGCCTCACAGTGTATCTTAATATCTTACTTTTACTTATTACATGTATATGAAGATTTTTCCTGTTGTTTTTTTGAGACATGAAGTTTTTTTGTTTTTTTTTTTTTTTTTTTTTGAGAAAGGGTTTCTCTGCAGCTTTAGAGCCTGTCTTGTAACTAGCTCTTGTAGACCAGGCTGGCCTCAGACTTGTAGAGAGATCTGCCTGCCTCTGCCTCCCTAGTGCTGGGATTAAAGGCATCCATCACCTCCACCTGGTGACATGAAGATGTTTTTAAGACTGTTCTTTACAACATTATAACAAAAGATCTGGGAACTGGGTAGTATTCATCAATAGTGAAATGTTGGACACAGTTACATGCCTACTTCTGCATTGGCAGCAGCTGTGTCCTGACTCAAAAATACCAAAAGAAAAGATACCCTGTATACTAAAGGCTTTAAGGCATGATTTCTGTGCTTTGTAACTCCATAAAGTCAGACATTGTTATAATTATGTCAAGCTGTTCTCTTTGATACATTGAGCTGATTTATAATATTAAGTGTATATTATTGCAGGTCAGAAATCTTAGTAAAGCTCGTTCTATTTTCAGTACATACCAGGGGCAACCTTTGTTGTGAAGTATGGAGTAATTCCGTGTTGATACTATTTGCTGTAACTGGATTATGCTTTTAGCGGAGTTATGAGTGAATTTAAGAAAAAAAGAGGAAAGGGGGAACCACAGAAAGACATTCCTGAAAGGTTAAGGGACAGTCAGGTAGGACTGTGAATGAAATGAGCAGGAAAGTTGTCTGTATAGTTTAGTTTGAAAGAAGATGGTGAAGACTGGGCTGAAAGTTTGGAATAAGTCCTTAAGACCGGTTTTATTTTTCTCTCTTTTTAAAGAAGTATGCGTGTGTGTAGGTGCCTGTGGAGGCCAGTAGTGCTGACCTCCTGGAGCTGGATCCTCTATACAAGCAGTATTCACTTTTAATTGCTGAGCCGTCTTCTCAACGTTTGTGCCATCTAAAAGAAGCAGCTTTTTGGAGAACGGGTTCATTAATATTTTCACTTCAATAAGAGAGGACAATAGGCAGCATTATTGTAGCAGGGTGAAAACAGAAAGATGGGTAATTCAAGATGTAGTAAAGAAGTATTATTGGGGATTTTTAAATACGTATGAGGGTGGGGAATAAGGAATCAAGTAGAATCAAGACTGCTGGGCTGGCAAAAAGGCTCATGAAAGCATTTGCCATATAAGATAAGGCTGCAAACCAGAATTTGATCCTGGAAATCTATAGTAAAAGGAGAGAACCTACTCTTGATAATTGTCTTCTGACCAGTGCATGTGCACTGTGGCAAGCTTTGCACTTGTGCGCGTGCACGCGCGCGCGCACACACACACATTAAAATAAAAAAAAAAAAGTTAAGTGTTACCTAGGGTTCTGTTTTAGGAAATTGGACATTGTTGCTACTGTTGCCAGATAATTTGGTAAAGGTTCTTCTGTTGAGAAGAAGAATTACATTTTGGCTGTCTTGAGATTTAATTAACTAGAAAATCCATGTGGAGCTTTCCAAGAAGTTTCTGAAGTGTAGGCCTTAAATAACACCAGGAGATTTAGGATGGATAGAAGTTGAAGCTAAAGGACAAGTAAGATCCCCTCAGATGATGTGATGACAGCATATGAAGAGCATAGGACTGTGGTCTAGCCTCAGAAAGACATCGGCATTTAGGGTGTGGGCAAAGGCTAAAAGTTCCATAGGCGAGGCTGACAGGGTAGGAAAACATGTTGTTAGGAAGTAATTGATGTGGAAAGGAGTGGTTCCAGAATCTGTATGGGCCTGAGCCAGGTCCTCTGCATATATGTTATGGTTATGTAGGTTGGTGCTCTTGTGGGACTCCTAACAGTGGGTGTGGGGGGCTATCTCTGCTACTTTTGCCTGTACTTGGAACCACGTTCCTCTACTGGGTTACCTTGTCCAACATTGATATGAGGGTTTGTTCCTAGTCTTATTGTAATTTGTTATTCTATTTTTAGTTGATGTCCCTGGGAGGCCTGCTCTTTTTTTTTTTTCTTTAAGGGAAATGGAGGAGGAGGAGGAGGGGGAGGTGTGTGAAGGGACTGGGAGGAGTGGAGGTAGGGGAAATAACAGGCGGAGTGTAACATATGTAAAGAATTGAAAAAAAGAGTGGTTCAAGAATATCAGATTTTTGTAGCCTTCATGTTTCCCTCCCTCTGTCCCTCCATTTGTCCCTCCCTCCCTTCCTTCTTTCCTTTCTCTTTCTTTATCCTTTTGAGGTTGTGAGCTCCATAAGGTTGGAAGTATCTCTGTCATTCATCCCGGACATTAGCTATTTCCATGATTAGAAAGATTAAAAGGAGACTTATGTCATCATACTTTCTGATGCTTTCCAAGAAATTGTATGCCACTCTAATAAATGCCAGTCCTATATTGTTATGTAATTCATAATTTGTACAATTCTAATCAATGGAACTGAACATAGAGCTTGATAACATCTCAGTGAAATTGATTAAATTTAAATTAATAAGCATTCATGTTTTGAATTTCACTTAGTTTCAAATTTATGGTACTAATTTTTGATTTTTTTAAGTTATAACTGTAGAGAACATTGTTTGTGAATCTATCTCAGTAAAATGATAATATGGAGTACCAGAGCACAAAACACCTTTTAAAAGTATTCATAGAAGATAAATAAGGATTAGAACTCAGATGTCTTGATCTTAATTAATTTCCCAGTCTCCTAAATTGCATTAGTTTATAGTTTTATTATTATTGTCCATATTCCTTATCTGAGTCTGAATTTTGTGTTTTATTTTTAAGAGCTGGACGATGTAGACCTGGAATTTGTTTCCGTCTGTTTAGTAGACTCCGATTTCAGAACATGCTGGAATTTCAGACTCCAGAGCTCTTGAGAATGCCTTTGCAGGTAGACCTACAGCTCTAAGCCTTCATCTGTGGGTGAAGGGACAGCTTCCAGTTCAGTTTCTACAGATTGGGCTTGAATTAATCACTTTACAAAATAAAATCATAAGTTAAATTTTATGAAGGGGATATATCCATAAAAAAGATTTTTTATACAAATCTTACTGAACCTTCAGATATTTATTGGAATGCATTTAAATTATTGAACCATGTGTTTTGTGTGTGTGTTGTAGCATTTTAAGAGTCTCAAATGCATAGTATGATTTTGAAAATTCTGGATATGATTAGAAACTATTTAAGTTGCAAAGGTAATGCAAACATTCACTGAGATTTCAAACTTTCATCAATTGTTTTTCTTTTAGTTTTCTGCCTCTGTGCAAAACTACTAGAAGAATATCAGTCTGATTCTGTATTTTAAAAGACTTACTTATATTATTTTTATTTTACGTGCATGTTGTGTCTGTGTATGAGCAAACTCACTATCTGATGTGAGTGCTGGGAACCTAGTCTGCTTCACTGCAGTGCATCAAGTGCTCATAACCACAGCACCATCTCTCCAGCCCCCACTTTGATTCTTTGGTCTCTTAGCCTGCATGCTTGCTTTCAGTCACACAAAGGATACAGAATCATGGTTTTGACATCCATATCTCTGTGATGATTTTCGATACCCAATGTTTTTACAAGATTTCCTGTTCCTTTTATATATAATTAAAAATTTGTGAAACCTAAATTACTAAATAAACTCTTAAGTCTTTCCAATCCTCCATTCTCATGTTTCTACTCATATCATATTTAATGTTTTTTTTAAGTTGCCTTTATTTCTTTTGTGTATAGCTTTTGCTATAATGTGCTAACCCATTTCCAAATTCCTTTCCTTTATTTCTTTTATGGTACACTTCCATTTCTACTCTTGACATCTCAGTGTATGTGTTTCTTCTCCTAGGAAATTGTTTAACTTTTCCTGCTCTTGCTGAAACTTGATTATAATTTATCTCCGCCCCCACCCAGTATTCTTCACAGCACTCAGTACAATAATTAAGTAACTCGCTGAAGTAATGCGAGGTCTGTTTTTCCCTCTCCTGTAAACTCCGAAAGAGCAAGCACTGTCCTCTTTCTCTGACTTATTACATAGTACCTGTGTGTAGAAAGCACCTGAATATTTGGTGAATGGAATGATGATAGACTGAGTGAGCATGATAGGAGAAAAATTACTTACTATTTGGATAGTGACTCTCTAAGTTTTGTGGGTAAAAGCTATGTGAGAAAATGTTGCCATAAAGGGCAGTGATCATCTTGGTATAAGTTGATTGAAGGCATTACTGGTCATTTTGGTACAAGCTGATTGAGGGTATTACAAACACATACTTCATTGAAGATGCTCCTTCTATTCCTTTGACTCTGAGACTTTGCTACTCTGGGACTGGGAAACCGTTCTCATGGTTTCTTTCAATAAAAGTTAATGCTTTATTTTTACTCTTTCGAATTTTTTTGTTCTTGTGGTTTACAGGAACTTTGTTTACATACTAAATTGTTAGCCCCTGTTAATTGTACCATTGCTGACTTCCTTATGAAAGCCCCTGAACCACCTCCAGCTTTAATTGTAAGAAATGCTGTTCAGATGCTTAAGGTTGGTGTTTTAATTATTCTACTTCAATGGGAAATTAAAGCTAAATGAACATTTATTTAAGTGATTTTATTCTTTTAAAAAATGTCAGTTGATCGGTACTTTAAATACTGCTCTTACAAATTAAAATAGTAGATATAGTCTTATATATTTAATACAAAATATATTTTTATGTGATGTGACAGTAAATGAATTATTTGCATTATTTTATACTTAATGAGTTTTTAACTTAACTATATGATTCTGGGTTATGTCAAATTGTTGGTTGTTTTTCTTCCTTTACCTAGACAATAGATGCAATGGATGCGTGGGAAGACCTGACTGAGCTTGGGTATCATTTGGCTGATTTGCCAGTAGAGCCACATCTCGGTAAAATGGTCCTGTGCGCTGTTGTTTTAAAGTGTCTGGACCCCATCCTAACAATTGCCTGTACGCTAGCTTATCGCGACCCTTTTGTACTGCCTACCCAGGCCTCTCAAAAACGTGCAGCTATGCTTTGTAGGAAACGGTTTACTGCAGGGACTTTCAGTGACCACATGGCACTTCTCAGAGCATTCCAGGTACTGTTAACTTTTGTTTATTGTTAAATATGCTGTGTTAAGTACATTCTTTGGCAAGTACAGCAGTTTCAAAAATAAATAAAAAACTATATAACATTGTTATTTTTGTTTTATTTAGGAAACCACATTTTATTTATTTTTATTTAAGATTTATTTATTTTTATGTATGTGTTTTTCATGCATGTATGTATGTGCATCATATGTGTACCTGGTGTCTGACTGTCAGGAAGAAGGGTTTGATTCTATGGAACTAGAGTTTTGGAGGGTTGTGAGCCACCGTGTCAGTGCTTAGACCTGAGCCTGGGTCTTCTGCAATAGCAACAAATGCTCTTAACAACTGAGCCATCTCTACAGTCTCAGAAGTCACATTTTGTCAGTGGAACAGAAGTGGTAGGGAAAAGACCATGAGGCCTCAGTCTTACACAAAGAACTATAGGCAACTAAGAAATACTGAGAGTGGAAGAAATATTCTTCCTCAAGGAAGAGCATACCAATTGCTTAGAGTACCAAATGCTCAGCCCTGAAAATATACATGCAAATAACATTATAGAGACAGAACAGGTTACATATGTAGCAATTAATGAAGAAAGAGGCCATGAATTTGAAACAGAGTAAGAAGGGGTGTATGGGAGAGTTTGAGAGAAGAAAAGGATAAAAGAAATGATGTAACTATATTATATATCAAATAATATATATCAATATAATCAAAATAAGAAAGATATTTTTTAAAAAAATATGTGATTGCTCCTTATAGTTTAACATGACCAACTTATCTCTATTTTGTCACCCCTATTTTCTCCTATTACGTGCTGTACTATGCATGTATATATTTATATCTCATGTTTGAAAGTTGTTTATTGTTTAGTCATGACTTTGCCAAGAAATACTTTTAAAATTATTTTGGAATGACTGTGTGCTATGTAGAGGACACTGAACAAAGACTAGAAGAAAATTATCTTCAATTTAGTATTTGTAAAATTCTCTTTTTTTATACTATTTCTTTTCCTTGTGCACTTTAGGTACTATGCCAAAATTTAATTTTATAAAACAGAAAAGATAATCTAAAATTTTTAAAAATAATAGTGAGATAATGAGTAAGAAAATGATAAGATAGAAGTAACCTCTGAGGAGAGAAATGCAGTATAATTTAGAAATTTAAATATATAGGAAAGAATATATTAGTTTTTAAAAATACATTTTTTAATTCTTAAAATTTCTTGATTAGAGGCTGTGCCTCTCTATACTCTTACATTTCTCTTTGTTTATATGGAAAGCACCCTTTCAGACATTCAATATTTTTCTAACATATATAATTTAAATAATTGTAGGCTCCTTTATGATTATTATTGAGTGATGGATTGTTCAGTTCAGATATTAGATATTATAGATACTTAAGTAATAATCAGAAATCTGGAGTAGAATTCCTGTATTCTGTTCTTTCCAGCTCTTTTGAAAGCTGATGAAATAAGATAGAGCTTTCCTTCAGTTATGTTCCAAGCCAGGCTAGCATATTTTCAAAGGCCAGATTTTTATATTGTATATAAAAATTCTATAAATCCCACTTAAAAAATAAAGGATTTATTTTTTTATTTAATGTATATGGGTGCTCTATCTGCATGTATGACTTTATGCCAGAAGAGTGTATCAGATCCCACTAGAGATGATTGTAAGCCACCATGTGGTTGCTGGGAATTGAACTGAGGACCTCTGGAAAAGCCAGTGCTCTTAACTGCTGAAACATCTCTCCAGCCCTCAGAAGCCCACTTTCTATTTCCAGCCAGTTGGTAGAGTAACGTAGAGGTTGTTATTATGAGTTTCAGGATTCCTAGATATAAAAGTATTTTAGTGGAAAATATAACTGGAAAGCCTCTCACTTATGTGTAATAAACTAGCTATCTTTATACCAGCCAGAAATTATATCTATGAGGATAATTTTACAGAGTTGGTCATTTGAGTCATTTGATGTTCAGTTCTCATTGGAGTTTTGTAAACTCAACTGACTTGATAGCAGTTGTGTATAAACTAAATGACAAGTCTAATTTGATTATAAAATCTTAGACTTTCAAAAATTGTTAGAATAATACTTTAGTGGTTGATATAGTGGCATTGCTTTGTTACCTTATTGAGGTGTGATTGGTATATATGTCTTGTATATATTCTGTTTCTGTAGGCATGGCAGAAAGCACGAAGTGATGGTTGGGAGCGAGCTTTTTGTGAAAAGAATTTTCTCTCACAAGCTACTATGGAAATCATTATAGGCATGAGAACACAGTTGCTTGGTCAGCTTAGAGCATCAGGTAAGGTTTCCTATGTAGAACACCTGCTTATCCTTCATGTTTCTAAACTTCAAGTGATGCCAGCTTCTGTAGTTTTTATATCACATTATGTGTCTGTATTCATGAGTATATACCCTTCTCTATCTTCTGAACTTTTTTTTATTGATAAAATAAAACATTACACAGGTTGTAGCGGTAAACTCTATGGACATGGTCTGTAAACCCTATGGATACTCTTGACAATGAGCAATTTATATTTTTTGTTAAAGATCAGTTTAGATTTAATAAATTGTTATATTTACTTTTGCTTCTACCAAGCAAAAATTATTTAACTCTATAAAATAGCAATTATAAGAATTTAAGTAGATTGATATGGCTACTGTGTGTGTAGTTGGAGAGCACTAAAATGATTGGAAATAACTTGAAGACACTTAATTCTTTTCTGAGAAGACTAATGTTACTGTTTTGTTTTAGAATTGCTTCTTTGAAGGTTTTTTGTTGTTGTTGTTTTGTTTTTTTCTTAATAACATAGTTAACTGAAATGATAGTCAATAGTATCAGAATCTGGATTTATAGGTTTGCTGAAGTATGCAAGGAAAGCAGAGATTTGAGAATTTAAGTTTGGTTTGAATATGGGGAAGTATGAAGGATTTTTGAATTTTAAGTATACAGCATTCATACTTAACTATACTTCTACAGTTGATGTTTGAGAAAATGAAAACATACAAGTAAAAAGAATGTTTTGGGCTTCAAATTGTGAACTTGGAGAATGTTTCTAATAGCAGCTGTCTTAGTTTGGTTTCGTTTGCTGTGATAATGACCATGATCAAAAGCAGCTTGGGGAAGAAAGAACATTATTATTTCAGCTAACAGTTGTTATATCATCAAAAGAAGTCAGGGCAGGAACTAAGCAGAAGCTATGAAAGAATGCTGCCGACTGACTTTCTCTTCATTGTTTGCTCAGCCTGCTTTCTTAAACCATCCAGGACTACCTGCCAGGGATGGATGGTACTGCCTACAGTAGGCTGGCCCTTCTGTGTCAATCAACAGTCAAGAAAATGCCACAGAGACTTGCTACAGGCCAGTCTGATGACAGCATGTCCTCAGTTGAAGTACCCTCTTCTTAGATGACTCTAGCTTTTGTCAGGTTGAGAAAAAGCTAACCAACACAACTGATGATGACTTTACTGAAGAATGTGCAGTTGAAGCCAGGCATAATTACTGTCCATTAACATCCAAATGCTCAGGAGGTTGAAACAGGAGGAACTATTCAGGGCCAGTTGGAATTACATAATGAGATCTTGTCATTATGTAAACACTGTATTTAATCTAGCCTGAACAGATCTAAACTTTTATTAATTTTATACTTTACCTTTGCTTGAATGGATTGTATTGATCATGGAGTTGGATATTGTTAACTTTATAGGAGGTTATAGTTTTTGTTGCCAAATGTACACAATTGTTAAAGTACCTTTGCATAGTAGAGAAGATTGGTGTGCTCTTTTTGTCCATCCAGGTTTTGTTAGAGCACGAGGTGGTGGTGACATTCGAGATGTTAACACAAATTCCGAGAACTGGGCCGTTGTTAAAGCTGCATTGGTAGCAGGCATGTATCCTAATTTAGTCCACGTGGACAGAGAGAATGTAGTATTGACAGGGCCAAAGGAGAAAAAAGTACGATTTCATCCCACTTCAGTTCTCAGTCAGCCTCAGTATAAAAAGGTAAAACATTTTTATTGCTCTTAGACCTTGTGGTGAACCAAATTTAGGTAGTTGAAGATAAAAAAATATTCTAATATTCCAAATTAAATTAGCAAATTAAATATGTTTAATGAAACATTAAATCTTAGAAATAGCAGAGGTAACATTGGAAATGTAGTGAGGAAATCTGATAAACCAGAAGAGCAATGGCTTGCTTTAATGTTTACTAGAGTACACCATCTGTTTCACTAAAGAAATTAAAAGTATTCCCAATAAATTAAGTAATTAACACTTTCTTTTAACTGTCTTAATAGATTCCTCCAGCCAATGGTCAGGCTGCAGCGATTCAGGCATTGCCCACAGATTGGCTTATTTATGATGAAATGACCAGAGCCCATAGAATTGCTAATATCAGGTGTTGTTCAGCAGTGACACCTGTTACTGTCCTGGTGTTCTGTGGACCAGCAAGGCTGGCAAGTAATGCTCTTCAGGAACCTTCATCCTTTAGAGGTAATTGTAGTATGAAGAAGTAAAAATCTGTTGAAATAAATCAATAACATAAAAATATGAAAGCTTGTGTGGTTTGTTTATAACATGAAATAGAAAATACTGAGTTATATTTGATATAGAGAGACAACTAAGAAATGTAAAGATGTATTTAGTATGGTGAGATAGTTAGGGAGTACTAAGGTATAGTTGTATAGTGAGACAACTAGGAAATGTTCTAGGGCATATTTGGTGCACTAAGATAGGAAATAGTAAGATTTACCACTTTTGATGAGTGATTTTCAGTTAACATATTGTTGGTTTATTTTACTTCTTTTTTTTTTTTTTTGAGGATTTTCTCTGTAGCTTTGGAACCTGTCCTGGAACTATAGACTAGGCTGGCCTTGAACTCACAGAGATCCATCTGCCTCTGCCTCCCTAGTGCTACTATTAAAGGCGTGCCCCACCACCACCTGGCTTTGTTGGTTTCTTTTTAAGTGATCATATAAATAAAGATAATATTTGAAAAGTAACTGATATTCTCATCTTTATACAAATATTTTTAAATATTTTTTTTGCTTATATATTTTAATTATTTTTCTAATGCTATTTTTTTTTTACGTTTCCAGGTTTCTGGTTATAATAGGTTGCTAGATAATGATGCCCATTTTTATTTATATTGTGTTGGTAAATGTGCAAATATTGGGGGAATGTCAGAAGATGGCATTAGGTGTCTTCATCTGTCACCCACTCTACCTAGTCATTTGAGGCAGGCTCTCTCCCTGAGCCAGAGTCTTGTGCTTTCTCAGCTAGGCTGGAAGCCAGAAAGGCCCTGTGATTCTCTCGTGGCCAGAACACCTGGCATGCTATATGTGTGCTGGCATCCTAACTCTGGCATTGTGATTGTGGACCAAACATTCTTAACCATAGAGCTGTCTCTTCAACCCTTGCTGCTACACATTTGAGATTGAAAACCTAGGAGTAGATTAAACCTAGAAGCTACATAGGTTGAAAATCAAGAGGTCTTTCTAAATATGCTTAAGACTGAGATGTTTAGGACTCCCTAATACAGAAGAGTTTTTAGACGGCCTTGGCTATCTGTATCTCGTGGAGTTCAGAAAAGATGCATTGGGATGTACACATTTCAAGACTACCAGACTGTAAATATTTTAAAGGCATGAGAATGTTTTTAGAGAAGAAGAAAAGTGCTGAAGGTAAATATGTTTTAAGAAGGAAATGGTTGGCTCTGTTAACTGTTACTTTGAATGAAAAGATAGAGACCGAAACTTGTAAGTTGAGTTTGGGAATAGACCTTTATCAATGGTCTTATCAAGAATAGTGTCAGTGACATGATTGGTTCAGAGGAGATTGAGTTTCATGGTGAGTTTAGAATTAATATGATAGAAACCCAGTGTGGTAGTATACCCTTGTAATTCCAGTTCTTGGGTGGTGGAGGCAGCAGCATGGTTCTAAGTTCAAAGCCAGTCTGGTGAACAGTGAGTTGTAGTCAGGGCTACACAATGAGATGCCATTTCAAAAAATTTTGGACAAGCTAACAAACAAACTAAAAAACCAGGGCAGGTAACTCCTAAGAGAGTTGCTATGGTAGGATTTTTGGTTTATTGAAATCTTTTATTCTTTTCATTTAATAGTTTCCTTAGCTTAAAATTTAACAAGTAATTACTTGATAAAAACATGTTAATGTTATTTATGTTATGGCTCTTCCTTATACCCAGACCGACCATGCAGAGAAAATGGCTATTATTAGGTGTTAGTATTTAGAATGCTGTTTTAAATATTAAAGATTTCATTTGTCCTTTTGATTCTGTTTTTTTCAAGAGATAAATCTCCCTATAGTTCTTTCTTATTTATTGAGTTTATTTCATCTTTTGCCTATTTGCTTATTTAGATATTGCTATTTTTCTATAAAACTTGAATTATATTTTAATTTTTAAAATTATCACTATTTTATTTTATAAATTAGCTTACAGAATATTAGACTTCCATATGGGGGCTTCATACATATTTCATTGATTCTTTGCAGCCCTAGTGCCCTCTCATCTCTCTGCCCCCCTTTGTCCCTTGGTTTCTCCTTTTCTCCTTCTATTTTGTTGTATTGTCTTCCCATATCCTCTTCCCTTCAAGGCAGTTTCTTTGGTTCCCCAAATAGTCTAGGTTCTAGTTTCATGGCCTTTTCCCATTTACTATCATTTAGATAACAGAGGCCAGGATCTGCATAGAGGCTGATATCTGAGCCTGGGTTCACCTTACTTAACGTAATGTTTTCCAGTTGCACAGATTTTTCTGCAAATTTAATTTTTCTGAAGATTTCATTTTTCTTTGTGGTTGAACAACTTCCATTGTATTTATGTACCATATCTTTTGTTATCTTTTGATGCATATCGGGGCTGATTCCACTTCCTTGCTCTTATGAAAAGAATAGTATAAACACATCTCTACAGAAGAATGCTGTTGAAGGAAGGCCGCTTATTCATCCTGGCTAACCAGAACCAAAATAACCACACAGAAATGATATTATAATGGCCAATTAGCTCTGACTTCTTATTGGCTAACTCTTACATCTTAATTTAACCCATTTCTAGTAATCTGTGTATCGCCATATGGCTGTGGCTTACCGGCTAAAGTTCTGGGCATCTGTCTCCAGCTGGGCTACATGGCTTCTCTCTGACTCCACCTCCTTTCTCCCAGCATTCAGTTTAGTTTTCCCTGCCTAGCTCTGTTCCCCTGTAGCTCTGCTATAGGCCCAAAGCAGTTCCTTTATTAACCAGTGATATTCACAGCATACAGAGGGGAATCCCATGTCAATATGCAAGGAACATTTGGATATGTGCATATGTTTGGTATAACTGGGCGTATACTAATTCTATACTTTTGAGGTGCCAACATACTGATTTCCACAGTGGTCTTTCTAAATAAGGGCTCCTCTTTTTGTTCATCCTTGACAGCATTTATTGTCCTTTTTTTTTTCTTTTTTCTTTTCTTTTTTTTTTTTTTTTTGATGGTGGTGCTCATTGTGACAAGGATGAGATAGACTCTCAGTGTAGTTTTAATTTGCATTTCTGTTTAGTGCTTGTTTGTGCTGTTTCTTTGAGAACTTTGTTCAGGTTATTAGCCAATATTGATTGGCAGGAGTTTGTTTTGTTTTTAATTTTTGAAGTCCTTTATTTACTTTAGAAAGTTACCTCTTTTGAAGGCTGTCTGTTGACTGGGGGCGGGGGGGAGTTGTAATTGTTTGTAGTCACACTTACCAGCTGTGGAGGCTTTGTCCTGCGCCTTGGGGACTCTCTCCAGGACTGCAGGTGTCTTGAAGTGCCTTCCCTGTCCTTCTTTTTTTAATTTAACATTCTAAGAGGTTATTGTTTTAAGTTAAGGTCTTTGATCCATTTTAAGGTGATTTTTGTGCAGAATGAGAGCTACATATCTAATTTCATTCTGCAAGTAGATATCAAGTTTGTAAGCAAGATTTGCTGCAAAGGCTTTCTATTTTCAACTGGTTTTTGGTTGTTGTTGTTGTTACCTTCGTCCAGAACTGTTTGGGTTTATCTCTGGCTTGTCTGTTATAGTCCTTTGGTCATCTGTTACAAGTCTGTCTTTGTGAGAGTACCATGCTGTCTTTACCACTATGGCTCCCTAGTATAGTTTGAGGTTAAATAATGTTGAAATCTTCAGCTGTCCTCTTTTTGCTTAAAGTCTTTTGGTGCCCATAGTTTTTTGTGTTTCCATATGACTTCTAGTATATTTTTCTTTAGTTCTATAAAGAATGTCCTTGAGATTTTGATAGATATTGCATTGAAATCTGTAGATTGTTTTTAACAGTAAGGCATTTTTAAAGTATTAATCCTCTCAACCTAGGAATATGGCTTTATAGCTTTAAAGGTATTAGCCTTTTTTTGTTACACAAAAAGTTGTTTCAATTACTGTATATTCAGATTGATTAATCTTATACTATATACTTTCAGAGCTGAGAAAATGTAATTTTTCTGTTGCTTCCATGAATATTGTTTTTATTTTTTTAATTTGTATTTTAGATTTATTTTTCTCAATGGGTAGATTTGATTTAATATATTCTCCCTCCTCTTTGGGGAGTGTTTCTCCCTTATCTGTACCATTTATTAAATAATACTTGTATATAGTTTTCTAGAATGCTTAAAAATGCCTATTAAATTTGGAATCTTTATGTAAGTTTTGTGTATATTCTTTTATCTTCTTTAATGTAACTATTACATTTATACTGGACACTCATTTAATATTTTTATTTACCAATAAGTCGGTATCTGTTAATGAAGGACCCACCTATAACTCTAGTTGCCTTTATATTGTAAGATATTTTTTGATAATTTTCACTGCTTTTGTCTTCTTGTACTCCTTTCTGAATTCAGCAGCGTTTTTTAAAAACTTTAATTCAGGAAGTTCAGTATGTTTTATAAAACAGTATCAATATTAGCTTAAACAATATTGATAGCTTTTATAAAGATTAGTCATAATTCTGGAGTCTGTTCTTTTCCTCCACTGTGGTTCTGGACATCAAACAACATGTCATGCTTGTTTAGTGCTGAGCCATCTTATTGGCCCATATTTTATATATTTAAATTAAACATAATCTTTTTGATTAGATGAACTTCCTAAATGAATTGTTAGACTGTAAAAGGGAGTTTTGCACATAAGAATTTTTGTTTTGTGAGAAAGTAAAGTGATTGATTTTTTTCCATGTGTGTTGTGACAGCGGATGGCATTCCCAATGATAGTAGTGACAGTGAAATGGAGGACAGAACCACTGCTAATCTGGCTGCTTTGAAACTTGATGAGTGGCTTAATTTCAAATTAGAACCAGAGGTAAGTTGCTTTTTAATAGGACATAGATTTTTTTGTAATTAATATTAATTGAAGTAGCATGTTAAAATTTTTATCTTTAATATTGATCCCATAATGGTAGAAAATACTTGTGGCTTGTTTTTCAGTTTTCATAGAGCTTTCATGCATTCTCTGCCACCCTGGGTTTTTCTTCTGTCAGAGGACTAAACCAACATAGATGCAGCCCTGCATTTATGTGTGACTATTGTCTTGCTCTGTTTGTGCTGCTATTATAACACAGTTCTGTGGGCTGAATAATTTTTGAAAATCAGAAAGTCCTCAGTCTAAGATCAGGGTGCTGGTGCAGGTTACACAGCTTAAACCCTGTGTCCTCAGCAGGGCAGAATGGTGTGTCCATGTATGATGGGATGCTGAAGGACATAAGACATAGACGCCGTCATCCTTTTAGAAGGATATCTAACTAACTAACCATTGTCATTTTCTGAAGATCACATTTCCCAGTACTGTTGCATTGAGTACAAAGTTTCCACATTAAATTTTGAGAGGGACCAAAACCATCTAAGCCACAGTAGTAATATTTTAGTATTTCTGGGTATGTAAACTATTGAGTATTGAGTTACAGGGCACCATTTATTTTTGCCATTTCTTGGAGAAATGAGTTCATTTTGTTTTCATAACTGAATTGGGAGAGATAAATTTTTGTTTTTTAATTTTAAGATTTCTTTGACACAGTTTTTCACCAGGTCTGTTTTTTGTAATCATTCTCTGTCCATCTAGGGGCACAGCTGAGCTGTCAGTGGTCAGCACTGGCTAGCTCTCTGTTAATCATCACTCCATTTATTCATGTATGTATCACATGAGCATACTGCAGTCTAGTTCCCATTCACTTCTGTCCTTTACTTCACTGAAACTGCATTTCCGTGTTATATGCCAGTCTGTCTTTGATAAGCTGCTCTCCCACTTGGCACTATTGTGTATCACCTCTCCTTTCTAATTCTGCTCCTCTCCATATTTCCCCTCCTGAATCCTGCTCCAAATTCTTTGTCTTAAATAAAGTCAATCCTTTTTTTATTCTTCTTCCTTTGTAATCATTTCTTTTTACATGTATGCTTTGCTTTAAATTTTAGGTACTTGTACCTTAACTAAAATTTCACCTTCAAAGTGCCTTTCCCTTTTCTTCACTCTCACTCTACACATTTCCTGCTAACTGTATTTCTCTTTAGATTTAGAACTGATGGCACTTACGTCTCTCAAGTCTATTTCTAGATTAGGCCTTCTTATGCATCCATTTGCATGCTAGCCACCATCAGCTGGTGCTCTGTAGATGCTAAAGCATAATATGAATAGTCTAAGTCATTTTTCCCTTATTTACTGCTGCTTTTCCAGTATTAACCACACACTGTCACCTGCAGTGTTTACTGTCGCCTTTTTTAAGCTATTTGTTTCCGTCTGTGTCTATAGTGCCTAGAATATGATGACTAAAAATTTCATGTATGTAACAGAATGAATGAAAGGAGTGGAAAATTATATTGAATGTAAGAGAGTTCCTTATACAAACAGTTACAGACCATAACTAATGTAAAGAACCATCTTTACATATATGATACACATTTTGCTTGTGTTTGAACTGAGGATGCTTTGATTACAGGCTGCCAGTTTATTGCTGCAGCTCAGACAGAAATGGCATAGCTTGTTTTTACGTCGAATGAGAGCTCCATCTAAACCTTGGTCTCAAGTAGATGAAGCTACTATACGAGCAATTATAGCTGTTTTAAGCACTGAAGAACAGTCTGCAGGTTTACAGCAACCGTCTGGAATTGGCCAGAGGCCAAGACCCATGTCTTCAGAAGAACTTCCTTTGGCTTCCTCTTGGAGATCCAATAACAGTAGGAAAAGTTCAGCTGACACCGAGTTTGCTGATGGATCCACTACTGCAGAAAGGTGAATATGGCATTTTATTTAGATGGGTATGTTTTCTCTAGGACAATGAACTGTTTATACTACTTCATAGTCACACATAATGTAGTGTATGTAAAACATCACAATAAAATGGAATTTATTACTTTAAGATATCTCTTGTAAGTACTAAGGGAGTGTGAATTATTTAGTAAAGTCATTCTTTCAAGAAAAAATTGAAAATGTTACATACCCAGAATTCATAAATTTAAGGTCTCTTATAAAGATAATAAATTCTAAAGTGATCCATTTTAGTGGACACATGTCAAATGACATTTTTTCGTAGACATGCTGAATAGGAAATGCTGGCATTACTCTTTATGGATCAGGTTTTGTGTATCACTATGTACTGTCAGTACTCCCTCTTCACTGATGCACCGAGTGCCTATTCTATGTGTGGACAACAACAGTGAAGAAAGCAGGTATTATTTTCTTCATTCCTGCAAAACTGCAATTTTCCCACTTGCTGTAAGTTGTATATTCATTTGAATCCAGGGTTTGTACTAGGAAGGATGTTAAGCTTCTTTAATATATTTTCATATGGAGTATTTCCTCTTACCTTTTGGGAGAAATTAGGTCAATGTTACTGTGAGATGTCCAATATATTGGACTTGTCTGATTTTAGCCAGCATAATTAAATCTTATACTCTGTTTATTCTTTGTAAATTAGTGGTAAGCTTCAAGGTTTGATTATATCCCTTGTTTTAGCAAGAGTATTTTTAGATGATATTAGAAACTTTACACTGAAACCAGAATATATTGTCTGATTGTACCACAGTACATACTGTACAGTTTTTAAAAATTAAAAAAAAATAATGTGGTATTTGTAGAATTTTAGAAGAATCTTAGAGTTCATTAAGATAACGTTTTAATTTAACAAAGTTCAGTGTCATGCACAGGGTTGTATGCTCATCTAGTATTGTTCTTGTATATAGATTTTAGTCTCTTTGTTATTTTTAAGTCTATTTTTCACAATACTGTTTCTGATTTTTCAAAATGTGGTTTTACCTCATTTTTTAAATGTATCCTATAGTCTGGTTGTTTTGGAGTATGTGTGTGTGTGTGGAGGGGGTGTTTGTGCACACACAAATGTGTATTTGTGTCAATTTCAGAAATTTACATTGGAGATCTTCCTTAGTAGTTTTCTGCCTTCACTTTTGTGACAAGAGCTCTCAGTGAATGTAGACCTAACTTCTTTCTCTAGCTGGAGAGCGAGATCAAGGGATTTGCCCCTCTTTGATACCCTAGTTCTGAGATTGCACACACCAGCTTTTTATGTTGGTAATGCAGATTGAGTTCAGGTCCTTATGATTGCATGGTAGATTAGTTTCTTTTGTGTTGCTCTGATAAAATATTTGACAAAGACAACTTAGAGGAGAGAGTTTATTTTGACTTCCATTTCCATGATGGATAGAACCCATAGTGGGAAAGACATGACAACAGGGAGGAAAGGCATGGCAGGCATGGATATAGGAACAGGAAGTTGGCTGGTCATATTTTGTTAAAGAACAAGAAGTGTAGCGAGGCTATAAAGCCTCAGAGCAGCTTATCTTCAGTGGCTTACTTCTTCTAGCAAGGCTCAGTTGTTAAAGTATCCATAACCTTCCTGAACAGCTGGGTACCAATGGTCAAACAGAAGAGCCTATGGGGACATTTTGCATTCAAATCTCAACATGCAACAAGCACTTCACTAACTGGGCCATCTTCCCATCCCTCAACTGTTTCATTCATTCATATATATATATATGAATATATATATTTGTTTACATATTTATTTTTTATTCATTGGGGTGCTGGAGATCAAACCTAAGACTTTAGGCATGCTAGGTAAGTTTTATATCATTAAGTTACACTCCTAGCCCATTCTAGTTCATTCTTTATTTCTTTACTAATGTAAATAGAAAAATGAAATTCCCTTAAAGTACTACATACATTTTATGTCATTGGGGTTTTAGATTGAAATAGCATTCCCTTTGTACTATAAACTCATGTATAACTGACCTGTGCTTCTTCTTGCTCAAGAGTACTGATGAAATCTCCATCTCCAGCCTTACATCCACCTCAGAAGTACAAAGACAGAGGAATTTTACATCCTAAACGGAGCACTGATGACCGATCAGATCAATCATCTGTGAAATCTACAGACAGCAGCAGTTACCCAAGTCCTTGTGCTAGTCCCTCTCCTCCATCCTCAGGGAAGGTAGGACATCCACGGTCTGTGTAATAAGGAGTGGGTTCACAGCACATCTCGTGTACATAGTTATACAGAACCATAAAACTTGTACTTTTGTTACTGTGGACTGTGTTCTCATTACTAGCACTTAATGTATTTTAAATCTGATTATTTATTAATGGCGGACAGACATGCAGCTTGTTTTTTTCTTCTTTATTTCTATAGAATGTTTTGGTTAGAACAAAAATTCCACCTTGATAATAATTTTGGTTTATAATTCAAGTGTTTTCTGTGGTTAAATGATTATTTAAAACAAATGAAATAAAAAATCAAAAAATAAAATATAGAAGATACAAAATTTTGATATGGAATTGAAAACTGATTTTAAAAATGGTGATGTGAATGGCTTCACATGTTCAGGACATGTTTCTTTTTATCTGTGTTACTAGTACATGGATAAGAAAGTATTTATGAGATCCTTACATTTTAGTGAACAATGTCTCTGAACACCTGCTAAGAAAGAAGAGATTACATTTCTATTCTTATGTCTTATTTTGTGGGGTATTTTAAACCACTTTATTAAGGTACATCTTTTTACAAAGAACTTACTAGTTTATGGGCCACTGAGATGGCTCAGTGAGTAAAAGTACTTTCCTATGATCTCAGGTTGATTCTTGGGACCAAGATGGTTGGCAGGAAAGAATGGAGTCCTGCAGGTTGTCCTACTTTCACACGAGTATGCTGTGACATGAACATACCCTCCTCACACACACAAATAAATATAAGTAATAGAAAGATGATCAGTTTAAACTGAACAATTGTGCAAATTTTCGCAAGTGTGTATAACTATAATGATACTTTAGTCATATACCTAACATTCTTATTACCCTAGTGCACCAGTAACCACTGCTCATTTTTCTTAGTGGCTTGTAAGTGGAATCATGCTTTCTGTGTCTAGTTTATTTTACTAAATGCAAGTGCTTTGAAATTCACCTGTACTGTTGAATGTAGGTCTGCGTTTTACTTTTTCTTTGTCTGAGTAGTATTTTGTTGTATGGATATGTTGATGTCTTTCAATTTTTTGTTTGTCTTTTCCTCTATTTCTTTGAGGGAATTTTTAATTTTCTCTTTAAGGGCCTCAAACATTCTCTTAAAGTTATTTTTCAGGTCATTTTCTTTTGCTTCATCTATATTTGATTATTCAAGTCTTGCTCTTGTAGGGCCACTAGTTTTTACTGGTGTTGTATTGCTCTTTGTGGTGTTATGTGTGTTCTTACCTTGTCTACCTATCTTTTCCTCTGATTGGTGTAGTTGGGGCTGTCTCTTTCTCAGGTGATCAGTCTTCAAGGTGCCAGTGCATCTAAGGCTCAGATGGTTGCTCCTTGTGGTGCAATCAGGGCCACTGTTCCAGTCACCCCGTTGGTCACTCTGTGTTCTTGGAGGTCACTCAGCGCTCCTGAGGTTTGTTCTGCTTCTGTGGTGTTCGCTGTCTCAGGCTTGCTCTGGCCTAGGTTGCTGACTCAGTCATGTTTTCATAAGTGTCTCTGGTCTGGGCCTGCTCCCAAGAGGTCCCTGGCTTGGGCCCAGGTTGCAAAGGTCTCTGGTTCCTGCCTACTCTCTGAGAGGCCCCTGGTTACCTTTTTTTTAAAATTAAGTTATACAAACTTTGTATATATTTAGGGCATTTGTTTTAACATGTTTTATTTTTCTTCTATAACCTGTAGCTTTTTTTTAACCTTCTTTTGAAGAACAACTATTTTTTTTTGTTTTTTGGTTTGAGTTAGGTTCTCACTGTGTAGTCCTGGCTGACCTTCAACTTGCTATGCAGACCAGGCTGCTATTCTTTGTCTCACAGAGATCAGACTGCTAGTGTTGGAGTTGTAGTGTTTCTAGTTTTGACTGAATCTATTTCATTAGTTTTTTTCACTTATGACTTACTTTTTATAAACTGAGGAGGTTTTGCATAATCTAATATAACAAAAATATTCTGTTTTTTTTTCTAGAAATTATACAGTTAGAGCTCTTACATTTAGGTATATGATTCCACTTCAAATTACTTCTTTTCACATAGATTAAAATTTTTTCTTATCTATACAATTGTTCTAGTATCATTTTCCAAAAATATCACCATCTCCTTATATTACTTTGGTATATTTGTTATAAATATTTTGATCATAAATATATGATCTTTTCATTGGACTCTACTGTTTTTCTTTTGTTGGTTGTACACTGACTTGATTATGTAGAGTGTAATGAGGCTTGTAGTTAGTGTTCATTTTCTGACCTGTCACTTTTTTCTCCTAACCAGCTCTAACTGTAGGTATGTGTAGCTCCTTGCCTTTTTCATGACTTACATTTATAAATGTAATTTTACTTTCTAATAATTTTTACCTTTACTTTCCACAATTTTTTTTTTCAATCTGATTCCTGTTTATTCCTCTTCCCCTTATTTCTCTGACTAGGGCCTTTTTATAAAATGTTGTGTAAGTATTGGGAAGAGTAACCATTGCCTTGGTTCTTAGCAGGAAGTCATTAAGCATTTCACCATTTGATGTACTGTAACTATAAACATTTCCTTTTGGACCTAGTTTCTTGGTTTTGATTAAGAATCAAAATTAAGTTCAGGGGCTGAAGAGATGTCTCAAAGGTTAAGAGCACTGGCTCCTCTTTCAGAGGATCCGGGTTCAATTCCCAGCACCCACATGGCAGCTCACAACTGTCTGTAACTCCAGTCCCAGGGAATCTGACACCTTTACACCAATTCACAAGAAATAAAGTTAAATAAAATTTAAAAAAAAAAAACAAAAAAAAATTAAGTTCAGTGTTTCTTTTACATATTTTGTCTGAATCATTTGTAGATGGTAAATTTTGTTCATTTTATGACACTTTTACTTGTATTAGTGTTCTGTTGCTGTGAAGAGACACCATGACCATAGCAACTCTTATAAAAAGAAAGCATTTAACTAGGGCTGGCTTACATTTTAGAGGGTTAGTATATTTTCTTGATGATAGGGAGCATGGTGGCACACAGGCCCACATGGTAGCCAAGAGTTTTACATCTAGGTCCGTAGGCAGTAGACAGACACACACACTGGGCCTGGCTTGAGGTTTTGAAACCCCAAAGTCCACCCCCAGTGACATATTTCATCCTGCTCCAACAATACCACATTTCCTAATCCCTATCAAGGGGCTTCCTTCCCTGTTGACCCAAACACTCAAATATATGAATGTATGGGGACTATTCATATTCAAATCACCACAGTATTTCAGGCGTGCCAGCCTTTTTGTATATGGCTGGATTTGATGTTGAGTCAAAATTTTTCTGCAAGGGATTTTGTCATCAGTATTGTTCATGAGGGATATTGTTTAGTACTTTTTTTTCTTGTGATACTTTTGTAGAGTTCTGAAACTAGGTGTAATAGTTTGAATAACAATGACCTCCCCCTATAAGCTCGTATATTTGAATGCTTATCCACACTTGGTGGATGGACTGTTTGAGAAGGATTAGAAAGATTAGAAGGTGTGGCCTTATTGGAGGAAGTGTGTCACTGGGGATGAACTTAGATGTTTCAAAAGACTGCCCCAAGCCCAGTTTCTTTCTCTCTTGTCTGCTACCTTTGAGTCAGGATGTAAAGCTCTCTGCTACTACTTCAGCACCATGTTTACCTGCCACCATGCGCCCCACCATGATTGTAATGAACTAAACCTCTAAAACTGTAAGCAAACCTCCAGTTAACTGCTTTCTTTTGTAAGAGTTGCCTTGGTCATGGTGTCTATTCACAGCATTAGAACAATAACTAAGACACCAGGTTAATACTGTTCTCATGAGATTAGTTGTGAAGTAATCACTTTCACAATTTTGAAATACATGTGTAGAATTGGTATTGTTTCTTCTTTATGCTTATGTAGAACTCACCAGTAAAGGCATTTTAAAATTGAATTATTTTTGAGAATTTCATACAAGAATACTGTGTTTAAATTATTTCTATCCCTAACATTCTCTGGTCCATCAACTCCTGTGCCCACCCCACTCCCTCTCACATTCATGTTCTTTTCTTGTATGATTATTGTTACACATATGTACACATATACCTACACACACATAACTTACTATGCTAGAGTTGACCACTTGGGATTGCATAACTATCAGGGGCTTGATCCCTGAAGAAAACTGATTCTCCTTCATTTATCAGTCATTGATTGCCCATAGCCCTTCATCTAAGGGCAAGGGCTTGCAAAATTCCCCCCCTTCTACACAGTCATGTCAACTAGTACTTTGTTTCTGCAGGCATTGTTTGAGTAACTATATTGTTGAGATTTCATGGGTGTAGATTCCCTGTCATGTCTATAAGGCAATATCTATCAGCAGGTACCATGGTCCCCTGTTACTTTTAGAATCTTTCTGTCCCCTCTAGTGATACTCCTTGAGCTTTAGGTATAGGTGTTGAATTGTATATGTGCCATTTGGGGCTGGGAATCCCATGGTTATTCTTTGCATTTTAACCAGCTGTGTATCTCTGTAATAGCCTGTGACTACTACAAAAAGCTCTTTGATGTGGGATGAGCTCTACCCTTACTGTGGGTGTAAGGAAAAGTGTTTAGAATGCAGGAACTACTGGTGGGAGGTTCGCTATTGTTTTCTTGTCTTAGTCATTATTATGTCTGCTTTCCTTTAGCTGCACTTAGGATTTTCTCCTTAATCACTGATTTTGAGGAACTGGATTTTGATAGTGCTTCTTCTGATCCTCTTTGTTTTCAATTGTATATCTGTAATTTCCATCTGTTCTTAGAAAATCTAAGTCTATTATTTCTCATATCTACCCTTTGTCCCCTCTTTTCTGGAATTCTTGCTAAATATCTATGTGTGTATTTACAGCTGTCTATGTGTATATAAGACATTCAGTATTTCCTAGTTCTGTGATACTCTTTTTTTTCTAATCGTTTTCCCCTCTTGACTTCATTTTAGGTAGTTTTATTGCTATCACTTCATTCGGTGATATTTTTATTTTGAGTGTAAACTATTTTTGTTTTTTGTAATGTTATTATTTGCAGTTACTATTTTCTCCATGTATCTTTAATATCTCCTGCCATTATAAAATACCTCTCTAGTATTCATATTTTTTTTTTAGTTTTCTTAAACGTTGTTCACACAATTTATAATAGGTGCTTTACCATTCTTGTCTACTGTTTCTGAAATCTGACATGTGAGTCTACATGTATTGATTTTTTTTCCCCTGGCTATGGGTCCTATTTTTTATTTTCTTTGCATTTCTTATCAATTTGTTTGGCTTCTAGATTTTTTTTTGTGTGTGTTCCTTTGAATAGTGTTAGGCTTTGTTCTATTTTATCTAGGTTAGTTACAATTAGTTTAATACTTTTTAGCTTATAAAAATTATTTGTGTGTGTGGTCATGTATATGCATGTACATGTGTGCACTCACATACCAAGACAACTGTCAGGAGTCAGTTCTCTTCTTCCACCAGGGTTCTAGGGATCAAACTCAGGCCATCATGTTTTCTTGGCAAGCACTTTACCTTGCTGAGATATCTTGCCAGTTTAATCCTTTTGAGGTTTGATTGAAAGAAGTGTTATAGTAGGGTCCTGAGCGGTCTTTGTTTTGGTATTAGTTTTTTTTTTTTTTTCCAGTACCTAGGTTTGACCCTTCTAAGGGCAGATGCACTGTATATTATAAGGTGTCTGCTCTGGCTAAGGATATCAAGTATTCCCATCCATGTGGAAAACATGGGAATTATTTGGTGTACTGCTTTCCATCCATTCTTTGCCTACTCTTGGCACGTTTCTTTGAACTCTTGATCAGATCACTGCCTAGCTGTTCACTTTTGGGAACCCTTCTGCAATCCTGGAGCTCTTTGTGCAACTCTGTTTTACATTGCTGTGCCTACTCTAGTCCCTTTGTTGTCTAAGCTTCAGTGAGAGTACTGGACTGTCCCCCCCCCCCCCCCCCCCCCCCCGTCGTCTTGAAATCGCCAGACAGTAAACTGGAGAGATTTTAGTTTTGCTATTAGAATTGGTAAGTTTTAAAAACATTTTCTGAAAATTTACCCCAAGTGCAAAATAAAACTAATAAAGTTCCTCACTTGATGCCAGGCATTTTGGATACTTGGAAGTAAGTGCTTCATTCTGGCTTTTTAACCTCAGTTTGATTAAGCCTTGTAAAGGTTTAAAGCATGACAACTATTTACATTTGTTGAATATTTGGTAAAGTTTACGTGTTTATGAAGATGTTATTTATGAGAGCCTACTGGCTTTGAAAGGTCAAATTACCTTTCAAGAACGTATGCATTCTTTTATAGGGCTCAAAATCTCCTTCACCAAGACCAAACATGCCTGTTCGTTACTTTATAATGAAAAGTAGCAATCTGAGAAACCTGGAAATTTCTCAACAGAAGGGTATCTGGTCTACAACTCCGAGTAATGAGCGGAAGCTAAATCGAGCCTTTTGGGAGAGCAGCATGGTTTACTTGGTATTTTCTGTTCAAGGATCTGGACATTTTCAGGTGAGCCATCCTGAATCAATGAAATGACATTTATTTTGCCTGTAGGTTATGCTCTCAAATTCAGAGAAAACCAAAACCAAATCCTAGCTTTTTATTGTATTGGGGCATAATGGAATTGTCTGTGGTGTGACTGGGAGTGAGGTCAATTTCACATTTCTGCAAGGGGGCGTCATAACTGTGCTTTACCTTGACCTAGAATGTTTCCAAATGAGTCATCCTTCCTGCTGACAGCAGCTTTGCATCTGTCAGTGGATGAAATGCCATAAAGCTTTGCCTTTGTAAAATGTTTATGTGGACTGGAAATTTATGAACAATGAAAAGACCTGCTTCTTTTTAAAAGAAATTTCAAAATTATATTATATGGTTGTTTTGCCTCAATCTGTCTGTGCATCACATGCATGCAGTACCTGTAGTTGCCAGAAGAGAGTCAGCTCCCCTGGAGCCAGAGTTATAGATGGTCCTGAGCCACCATATGGGTGGTGGGAATTGAACCCAGGTCCTCTGGAAGAACCAGCTAATGTTCTTCACCACTGAGCCATCTCTGTCTCAGAGATGGTTTCTTAACTACCTTTGACTTAACTTGCAAACCTTTGAATTATTTCATAGTTATAGTATTCATAAATAAAAACTACAAGTTTGATGATTATTTTTATATAATAAATGCTGGCTTACAACTGTTGATACATTAGAAACTATTAATATTTGAAATTACATTTGGCTAGAATTTATTTATCTTCCAAAATTTGATAAAGGTTTTTTTGGTTCTTGATAAATTTGTATTATTTTAATATTATATCTTTTCTTTAAAATTCTTTAAAATTATAATTATCCCAATCAGAAAGATACAGATATCTTGGTCAACAGGGAGTGGCACTATTTGAAAGGATTAGGAAGAATGGCCTTGTTGGAGGAAGTGTATCACTGTGGGGTAGACTTTGAAGTTTCAATAGGTGAAGCCAAGTCCAGTGTCTTTTTTAGTCCTGGTGACTGAAGAACCCAATGTAGAACTCTCAGTTACTTTCTGACCCCATATCTGTCTATCTGCTGCCATACTCCTCAGAATGATGATAATGAACTAATGCTCTGAAACTGTAGTGTAAGCAAGGCCATGGTCATGAATCGCAGTATCCTCCAGTACCAAGTAAATCTCAAGCATCAATGGCTCCAAATGTCAGTGCAAAGCAAAGATGAGCACTTTGTGTGTGTGGAGAGGAGAGACACCTGAAAAGGAGAGATGGAGAATTTATGTTAAGGGTGAACTATAAAACTAAAAATCTACTTTGCTGTGGGACAATGGTTTGTACCCTGTCAATTGTATTTTAATAAAATCCTGATTGGCCACTAGCCAGGCAGGAAGTAGAGGCAGGGTGATGAGAACAAGAGAATTCTGGGAAGAGGAAAATTCTTTCTGCAGTCGTGATCCTGATGCAGAGGAAGCAAAATGTGACTGCCTTGCCAAAAATGTTACCAAGCCACGTGGCTAACTCAGATAAGAATTAAGGGCTAATGTAAGTTATAAGAATTAGTAAATAAGAAGCCCAAGTTAATGGGCCAATAAGTTTATAACTAAAAACAAAAAAAAGGATACAGATATCTTATTTTTTTTATTGAGAAAAGGAAAAAAAAAACAAGTTTCTGCCTCCTCCCAGCCTCCCATTTCCCTCCCCCTCCTCCCACCCTTCCCCCCCTCCCCCCACTCCTCTCTCCCTCCTTCTCCAGTCCAAAGAGCAGTCAGGGTTCCCTGCCCTGTGGTAAGTCCTAGGTCCTCCCCGCTCCGTCCATATCTAGGAAGGTGAACATCCAAACTGGCTAGGCTCCCACAAAGTCAGCACATTAAGTAGGATCAAAACCCCGTGCCATTGTCCTTGGCTTCTCATTAGCCCTCATTGTTCGCCATGTTCAGAGAGTCCGATTTTATCCCATGCTTTTTCAGTCACAGTCCAGCTGGCCATGGTGAGCTCCTAATAGATCAGCTCCACTGTCTCAGTGGGTGGGTGCACCCCTCGTGGTCCCGACTTCTTTGCTCATGTTCTCCCTCCTTCTGCTCCTCATTGGGACCTTGGGTGCTCAGTCCAGTGCTCCAATGTGGGTCTCTGTCTCTCTCTCCATCCATCACCAGATGAAGGTTCTATGATGATATGCAAGATATTCGTCAGAATTGCTATAGGATAGGGTCATTTCAGGTTCCCTATCCTCAGCTGCCCAAGGAACTAACTGGGGACCTCGGCTTGGGCTCCAAGGAGCCACTCTAGGTTCAAGTCTCTTGCCAACCCTAAGGTGGCTCCCTTAACTAAGAATTGTGCTTCCTTGCTCCCCTATCCAACCTTCCTTTATCACAATCATCCTTTTTCCCCAAGTTTCCCCCATCCTCCCCTTCTCCCTTTTCTCTCCCCATCTCCCCTTACCCCCATCCCACCCCACCCCCAAGATCCCAATTTTCTTAATATCATCTTTGCTTCCTCTTCCTTTCATTTTTTATACAGGGATTTTCTAGGATGTCTTCTGAGATAGGAAGAGAGAAGAGCCAGGACTGGGGTTCAGCTGGACTAGGTGGAGTATTTAAAGTAGAGTGGATACGCAAAGAAAGCCTGCCCTTTCAGTTTGCACACCATTTGCTCAATCCTTGGAATGACAACAAGAAAGTGCAGATAAGCAGAGATGGGCAGGTATATGCTGGCATCTTAAGTTTTTTCTTTTGATTTTTTTTTTTTTGGTTGTTACTGCTCAGAGGAGAATATGTATTAATATCAATTGCATATGCCATATACACATGAACAAAACTAGTTCTGATTTATAAAGAGCATGAAAGTCTGCTTGCATATGTCTTACGGATTTTTAAAACATTTTCTTAAGTTTTGTTTCTTGCTGTATGAAATCTTTCCTAAGTCACTTCATGGAGTTTTCTGTTGTCTTATTAGTGGAACATTGACCGAAACAGATTACCATCGTGAGGTGTTTTGACTGCAGTCTCAAACTGACAGCATCGTCAGTGTCCCTGTTGTTTAAGCACATTGTATAAATAGTAGCCTTTTCATTCTAATGCCTTGCTTTATTTCTGTTACCTTTGCTTTTTTGATGCTGCCTCTGTGCATTTAAACTAGTAATTTGATGAGAATTAATGAATAGTGGCAAAATATTGTACTAATAGCATCATGTAATCTCTTCTTATTAACAGTACAGTAAGCTGTTGGTCCCAGGTTACATGGGAGAAAGTAGGTTCAGGGGTTTGTTTTACCGAAAGTTATATCCAGTAATTTATCTGAAGTTTTGTGGCTTACTACCTCAAACCACCCTGGGAAATAGTTGATTTCTTTCTAGGTAATCTTCAGAGTATTATCCATGCCACTGGAGGATGAAAAGGTGGCATTCTTTTTATTCATATAATATTTTAGTTTATTAATTTTGATTTACATTAAATAATATCAAAGGTAGGAATATGTAGTCACCTAAAATGCTTTCTTGGGGAGGAAGCCTCAAAACATCTAGGTTCAAACCTTCAGAAGTTCAAATTGAGTGCTTCTGCTGAATCTCCAAGTAAGGTAAAATCTGTTGTTTCTATCTAGACAAAATTCTAAATTGATTACGTGGAAATCTGTTACTATTTCATCACAAAAGTTGCAAGATTTTTCACACGAAGTAGAATTTTAAATCTGAATATCAACTATTTAAAAGCAGAGAATTAGAAATAGTATGTACTGTTTTGTTTGATACTAACATCTGATTTTTTAAATGTGAAATTTAAAGTGATTTTTTTTGCATTTTTATCCACTTTTTTTTACTGGTTTAAAAAACAGCCCATTTTTTTTTAAAAATGTTTATTTTAACTTATGACTTATCTAGGAGCTAGAACCTCAGGTTGGTGAACAGTTGCTCCAGTTATGGGAACGTCTTCCATTGGGAGAAAAAACGACAGCTGATTGACATTGACATTCAGGTTAGATGATATTTGGCTTGGGGACTACTTGCAGTATTTGTTATCATTAGGGATGCCTTTCAGATTATTCACCTTTTTTCTTTTCTTTTTTGTTTCTTTTTTACTTTTTCAGAACTCCTGGCTGTAGAAGAGCATTATGCCTCTTGTAACTACTGAGTGCACTGACTTGTTGAAAACCTTGATGAGATGTTGTGTGTCATGAATGGGTTTTGTAACTTAGCGTGTTACTTCAGAATCATCATTTTCATATAGAGGAAAAGATCATTTAAATTTTTGTAGTGATTTTAGGCAATGACTATATAATGTTAATTATATGTTTCTGATGAACGAAATAGCAATTTTGATATTTGATATAACATCACTTAATTTAATTTAAATGTAAAGATTTCTTTAAAATATTCAGTTGATTATGACAACTTTTTATTTTTTATTTATTTTTTATTTTTTGTTTTTGTTTTTCTGGACAGGATTTCTTTGTGTAGCATTGGCTGTCCTGGAACTAGCTCTGTATGTAGACCAGGGTGGCCTCAAACTCCCAGAAATCTGCTTGCCGCTGCCACCTGAGTGCTGGGATTAAAGGCACATGCCACCACTGCCCAGCGATGCCAAACTCTTACTGCTGACTATTTAATTCAGGAAAGGCATAAATATATCAGTACATCTAAGCACCATTCTAGAAGAGTGAATTTTTAGGTATATCATTAAACAACCAGAAAAACTAAACATTTAAATTATCTCTTTTAGAATTAGTGTATTTATAAGGGCTATTCATTGTGTTATTTTTAGTCTGGGATATAGTAAAGAAGTAAACAAATGGGGTACTATTTTTCTCTGATTAAAGAATGAGATAAAATCTAAAGAAAGGTAGTTTCTCCCTGCCTTTGATCAGACCAGGCTTAATTTTTTTTCTGACCCTGCCCCTTTTCACTAATGTACAGTATACCTATTCTTTTTTTCTTCTTCCCATGAAACAACCTTCACACTATTATTACTATTATGGCATCATTGTTTTGCTATAGAAACCCAATTTAGAAAAACTAAAATTTAAGGAAATTTATAGAAGTTTTTTAAAAAATGCTCAGCAGCTATTGGTAGATTGGTTGCTGTATATCTTTGAAACTAAAGCTCACAAAGACCACAGTTCTTTGTCTTCTTCCATTTATTTTTCAATCTTTTTTCTCACCTGGTTTATATAAATCGACATTTATTTTTCTAAGTCTGTGTGGACACCAAGTCTCATATTTCTTTACCATCTCAGAATAACTTTGTTTGATGCCTTTCCCACTACATATTAAAGATTTCCTTAGAGACTTTTTAGAGAGAGTAGAAGGACAGGACAAAAACAACAGACATGTCTTTATTACTGAGCTCTAAATAGAGCAAGCTTGACAGTAATTTTCATGGCATTTGAGTCATTATTATAAAATGTATTTAATTTAAAGATAAAAAGAAAACAAATGTCTGGTTCTATATTTGAGAACAAAGATTTGGAAAATCATGGATTGGCATGAAATCTTGAGAACTCTTCTACATTCTCTGAGAAAACATATTGGTGCATTGCTTTACTATATATGCTGTGACTTTTGCCTGTACTAAAAATTGTGTTATATAAATAAATATGTAATATATTTATTACACACACACTTATCCACCCACTCACACACTTTGAGGCATACCTGTAAACTGAGCCAAAGTGAATTATGCTTCATTGTATGTGTATTACATTTCTATTCCTGTTCAAAAAACTTACAATTTTCCATCTAACATATACTTCTTTTCAAGTATATATGTAGAAATTTTCAGGATACTAAATTTGGAGGAACTTTCAAAAAATAAAACTTGTTTAAATTTTCATCTGTTTTCTAATATCTAACCTTATAAATAAATGATGAGTTTGTTGGTAGAATGAATATAATTTGAATGTAATTAAAATTCTGTCTTTTGAAGAAATGAATTTTAAATATACATATGAAATGAAATTCTATGAAGTTGTTTAGATACTCTGTACCATAGCCTTCCTCCTTCCCATGTGACATTTTATTTTTTATTATTTTTATTAAGCTATCTATTTTTCTCCGGTACCCTTTTTTTTCTTTCCCCTCCCCTTCAATCTTCTCCCATGCTCCCAATTTACTCAAGAGAGCTTGTCTTTTTCTACTTCCCATGTAGATTAGATCCATTTGTGTCTCTCTTAGGGTCCTCATTGTTGTCTAGGTTTTCAGGTATTGTGAATTGTAGTCTGGTTTTCTTTGCTTTATGTTTAAAAGCCACTTATGATATGTGTTTTTTTTGCATCTGGGTTAGCTCACTTAATATGATGTGTTCTAGATCTATCCAGCCCGCAAATTTCAAGATATCATTATTTTTTCTGCTGTGTAGTACTCCACTGTGTAAATGTACCACATTGTCCTTATCCATTCTTTAGTCGAAGGGTACTTAGGTTGTTTCCAGGTTCTGGCTATAACAAACAATGCTGCTATGAACATAGTTGAGTACATGTCCTTGTGGTATGATAGAGCAACTTTTGAGTATATACCCAAAAGTGGGTCTTGAGGAAGGTTGTTTTCCTAATTTTCTGAGAAATCACCATACTGATATCAAAATGGGCTATACCAGTTTCTACTTCCACCAGCAATGGAAGATGTGTACCCCACATCATCTCTAGCATAAGTTGTTATCAAGATTTTTGATATTGGCCATTCTTACAGGTATAAGATGGAATCTCAGAGTTGTTTTGATTTGCATTTCTCTGATGACTAAAGGATGTTGAGCATTTCCTTAAGTGTCTTTCAGCCATTTTAGATTCCTCTGTTGAGAGTTCTCTGTTTAGGTCTGTACTCCATTTTTTAAATTGGATTATTTGTTCTTTTGATGACCAATTTTGAGTTTTTTGTATATTTTGGAGATCAGCCCTCTGTCTGATGTGCGGTTGGTGAAGATTTTTTCCCATTCTGTAGGCTATTGTTTTGTCTTGTTGACTGTGTCCTTTGTTTTACAGAAGCTTTTCAGTTTCGGGAGGTCCCATTTATTATTCATTTCTCTCAGTGTCTGTGCTGTTGGTGTTATATTTAGGAAGTGGTCTCCTGTGCCAGTGTGTTCAAATGCACTTCCTATTTTCTCTTCTATGAAGTTCAGTGTGTTTTTTTATGTTGAGGTCCTTGATCTATTTGGACATGAGTGTTGTGCATGGTGATAGATATGAATCTCTTTTTTTATTCTAGGATGTTGGGTTCTCTGGAAAATAGGGCTGAGGCAGAGCTGGTACTGGTCTCTCCCTGGGGCTGATTGTGATGGTGAGTGTTGACAACTCAGACCTCCCTCATGGCCACTGGAGAGAAACACACTGAGTCGGGAATCTGTCGAAGCAGGATCTCCTTTATTTGTATTAGGCAGGAACTTATATAGGGTTGTGATAGGAGTCTTGGGATGGGGTGAGGTGGAGTAAGGAAGAAATGCCAGTAATATCCTGCCATGTTAGCAGTGGTTGGGCAGAGGTGGGTTTATGTCGGACTGAACTGAGTCACTCATATGCAGAAGTTATGACTAGAGACAGGTCACCAAACTTGAGTGAGGCTCTGGAAATTACACTGGCCTCACGCCCTGGCCTCATGAGGCTCAACATACATGTTGATATCCAATTATTCCAGCACCATTTATTGAAGATGCTTTCTTTTTTTCATTGTATAATTTTTGCTTCATTGTCAAAAATCAGGTGTTCATAGATGTGTGGATTGATATCTTCTTTAATTTATTTCTTCAAAGATTTAAAGTTCTTGTCATACAGGTCTTCCTACTTGTTTGGTTAGAGTTACTCCAAGATATTTTATGCTATTGGTGGCTATTGTGAAGGATGCTGTTTTTCTGATTTCTTTCTCATCCTATTTATCATCTGTGTAAAGGAGGGCTACTGATTTTTTTGAGCTAATCTTGTAACCTTTTATGTTACTGAAGGTGTTTATGAGTTGTATAAGTTTCTTGGTAGGATTTTTGGGATCACTCCATTTTTTTTAGGGATTTTTCATTTCCTCTTTAAGGGCCTCAAACATTCTTTTAAAGTTATTTTTAGCTGGGTGGTAGTTTTAATCTTAGCACTCGGAAGGCAGAAGCATGTGGATCTCTATATGTTCAATGGCAGCCTGGTCTGCAAGAGCCAGTTCCAGGACAGGCTCCAAAGCTACAGAGAAACCCTGTCTCAAAAAAACAAAATAAAAAAAAAAATAAATAAAGTTTTTTTTTTTTTAGGTCATTTTCTTCTGCTCATCTATATTTGGTTGTTCATGTCTTTCTGTTGTAGGGCCACTAGTTTCTATTGGTGTCATGTTGCTCTTTATGAGTGTGTTCTTACTTTGTCTATTTTTACTTTCCACTGATTAGTGTAGTTGTGGCTGTGTTGCCGGTGATCAGTCTTCCAGGTACCAGTGGATCCAAGGCTCAGACGGTTGCTTCTCTTGATGCAGTCAGAGCCATGGTTCCAGTCACCCCAGAGGTCACTCGTTCTCAGAGGTCACACAGTACTTCTGGGGGATGCTCTGCAATTCCAGGTGTCATTCTGGCCTGCTCCCATCTCCATGCTTGCTTGGTGCTGCTTTTGCTGAGGTTGCTTCCTTGGGCCTGATCTGGCATAGGTTGCTGGCTCAGGCCTGCTCCGGGGGAGGTAGCTGGTTCTGGCCTTCTCCCTCAGAAGTCATTCTCACCTGGTCCGCAGAGGTCTCTTGCTGGGTCTGCTCCCTCAGTGGTAGCTCCCTTGTACTTGCTCCTGTCGAGGTTGCTGCCTTGGGCCACTGGCTCAGGCCTGTTCCCACAGAGGTCTCTGGCTTGGGCTTTCTCCCTCTGAGATCCCTGACTCACACCTGTCCTGCAGAGGGCAGAGGTCTCTGGCTTGGGCCTGCTCCCTCAGTGGAGCTCCCTTATCCCATGTAACGTTTTAAATCTCTTATAAGACAGTCATTACATTTGTTTTGTTTGAAGCTTGCTTTAGACACTTCTGGTACTAAGACTAAAGTAGCCATAATTGATAATGCTTTCTGATATATCAATGAATTTGAGTTACCTTGAAGAATATTCATGTATACCAATAACCTGATCTTCCAGTTTCAGAAATCTAAGAAGTGTTAAGTATAAAGCCTCAAAAATTCTGGGTGGTGGTGGCACACTCCTTTAATCCCAGCACTCAGGAGGCAGGGGCAGGCAGATCTCTGTGAGTTTGAGGCCAGCCTGGTCTACTAGAACTAGTTCCAAGACAGGGCCCAAAGCTACAGAGAACTTTGTCTCGAAAAACCAAAAAAAAAAAAAAAAAAAAAAAAACACTTTAGCATAAAATCGGTTAGCTACAAATTAGCTATTCAAAAGTGTCAGCTTCTTATGGTTACAAAGTTAAAAGTAATAAACATGGGTACAATGCTTCAAGGACAATATTCAAATCCAAACAATTATTTCATGTTGCAAGATATATATTTTATATAGTTCCTTTCTACAAGAGGGT